ATATATTTGGTCCTCCATGAGAATTTATTCATTATATGTGATCAGATCACGGAGGAAGGAAACTAGCTCGTTCTGGCAAAATTTACACTCCACTCCATTTTTTATAAAAAAAAGTTCTGCTTGTAATTCACTTAGTTTTGTTAACTTGAATATTGATCATAATTGCAGTAAAATAATTTCTTACTTAACGCTTCTAATTATCTACCCATAAAAACATTCATCCTGATGAGAGTTTCAAATGTTGACACAATGCATAAGACCTGTTAATAAGATTGATTTATCATTGTGACAAAAGTGGATACTCTTCGATTTTCAATTCCATTCTGAAGTGTGACACTCCGATTGTGCACGTTTTAAAAATTGTAAAATAACTCCAACATTTCAATTAATAATATTTTTTTCTATGTAGCTGATGCATGTTCAGGGTAACAAAAACTTGGTAATGGACTCGTACATGGTATCTATAGGTCGATTGGTTTCTTCAACGCCAGCAGGTCATGCCATTCGTGTTAAAAGTATATGAAAATCGAATTCAAAACACTGTTTTCATGAGGTTTTTTTTCGATTGTCAGATTAGAAAAAAATCACTAGAGCAATGATTTAATATTGTTTCATAGAAGACTGATGTGTCTGAAAAATATTCTTGACGTAGAAAAGAATCGGAAATCTTAAATAATGCCACCATGACGTGACGTAAATCAACGCGCTAGTACAATATCTTATTTGACAAATATTTGACTAAAGTTATAAACATATCGTGCGTATATAAAAAATCACTACTTATGTTCAATACATTTCGCAGATGCGATCAAAGATGCAATTTTCCTCAGGGTCATTCTTTGTGTAGCAAATATTTGTTCCTTTGAGTTTGAGAATATCGTAAAAAGGGAACTTTCGCAGATTAGAATTTGAATTCAATTTTAATTCCTTTTGTTTTTTTGAAGATTTACGTGTCGAGTCGCCGATCCTAATAACCAGTATAATTATTTAAAGCTTTACACATCTTTTCCACGACCCACTAAGATTCTTTTTGCGACCCACCCGTGGGTCGCGACCCTTAGTTTGGGAACCGCTGCACTACAGGTTTAAAATATATACCGGTACGTAATACAAATTATGTTTCCTTACAAATATAAGAATGCATGTGCCGATATAATTTATATTTGGGTAAGATTTCACAATAGCAGAAGGCTTGTAACGTCGAACATACGTAGATTATAGGGTTGCGAGGTGAAAAACTTTCGCACTAATATATTTCAAACTTAATAGTTTAACAGTATTTTAAACAGTAAACTAAGCTATTTTTGGACACGTGAGTGGACTTATGGATCGTTTTGATATTATGTTGTTGTTCTTGTTCATATTCTTCTCCGTCACCATAAAATCGCTTTTCTCTTCGAATACAGGACAATTGCTCTGAAATTTTCAGTGGATAAAAATTGATTTTTTTTTCAGAAGGCTGTTACTTTCATTGATTTCAAAATATTCCTGGTAGCACTGTGAGATTCGTTTTCTTGACAAGTAATTGATTTGTTTTTGTGCTGGCACTCCTTTTTTTTTGATCACGTAGCCTATACTCATCGAACGTCGGTGGTGTGTAACGAACTTCTTGCCCAGGAAACTCGGAAGATTTTCGAGGTTACCGGTACTCGTAATGTAGTGAACTACTGCTTCGCTTGGTGTCCATATATTTGTAAACTGCGGTATTTACTATTATGACTCCGTGCTGCTGGTAACTCGAATCAGTTGGTATCTCAATCAAGTTGAAACAGAATCGCAAAAAAAACCTGGAAAATCCATGTACATGCAGACCTGTGACTGTGCCGCTTTACCGATTTGGAAGCCAAAACAGTCTACTGTTACTATCTAAGTTTAAAATCCCTGCACTCTTAATGAAAAAGGTGAGAATTTCCACCGAAATATTTGGTTCACAATGGTTTCAACCCCTTTCACCTGTTGGGTATGCGTTTGACATTTCCACCCAAACAAATCCCCCCTCAACTAATAGAACGTTAAATCCAACGTTCGCTGTACCTATATAATCCCACCTGAAATCGATGGCAAAGACCAATTTATCCTGCAAGCTTGGAAACGTACTGTAATAACCACCTAAAGTTAGCATGAATGTTGAATCCTGACAGGTTCTTAGGATTCATACAATTTATTGAAACCATGAATATTGAGCAAAATAGACTACTAAAGGTCATAAAAAAAAAAAAATACAATCGTAAAGACCAAGTCAAGTTACTTTATTTTATGCTAATTGGCAATTCTTCATGCTGTGATGGATTTCAAGCTTTTTCTTTTCCTTAGGGTACTTGTATATCGAATATCAGTAACAAGAATCCGTCATTGCTATTGCTTTTTGCGTAATTCAATCTTTTTCATCCGAATTATGATCTAGTGATAATCCAGAGTTCATCATTGGGAGTTCATCAACAATTTACAAACACAAAAAATAGATTAGCTTGTCTTTTGCAGTAGAAAAGAGGTCACGTTTTAACTTGGAACATATTCTATGAAAATATTTTAAACTGAATTGGAGACCTTGTGTAATGACCTTGTGTAAGGAATTTATGATATGACTTGTTATATAAGTGGTGAACAGCAAAGACAAAAGTCTTCTTATCAGGGAGTTTGAACCATTATAGATAAATGAATAGGCAAGATGACTAATCGTTAAATCAAACAGGTTTAAAAACTAGGGGAGAAGCCCTATGCCCATTACCACGTCACCGGATGTATAATAAACCAGATAGATAATGCTGAATGTCCTTTTAAAATCAGAAGTCTTTTGCTCTCAGCAAAGTGAATATAACTCAAGTGAAAAGTGAGGACATACATTGGTAACGCTTGTGTGACGTTACACACGCCTGTCGATTGTCAATAATCGGATCAAACTTTCGCAGCGGTAAAACGAATGAGCATTCTACTGAAATGAACTTTCCGCAGATGTTTCTCAGATAACTCGGCTCGGAGGTTTGAGGCTCTGTGCAGATCGTAGGATTAAGCTTGCCATCGCACTCCTCAAAATTACCCTGCGTAGGTCGAATCCTGTGAAGGGGTAATTATGTGCGGGAGAATTATGGGATTCTTCAACGTCGCAGGATGGTTCATGCCACCACTGGTCCGTTACGACTTCCCCATGCACCATCAAGTCCATGCGCCTGAATAATATAACTGACAAAATAATCTCATAATCGACGTTACCTGGTTGAACAGGCAAGAGGTTCGTCGTAGGATTAAGCCGTCTTATTAATATTCCTGTCCCCGAAAAAAAATATGAAAATCCAGCTCAATAACAATCGCGCGGCCCTTGATATTGCGCTCCGTCAGCATGTACGAAGTTGAAGTCATCCATTTTCACTCGATGAACAAACACCCAATAGGAACAAAAATATTGACAAATAGCAACACATTTTACTATATATAATAGTTTTCGGATGTAAGTACCGCTACATGCACAGAACTTATTTTGGCAAACTGACAGAACTACATCACAAACTACTCTTCAGAAACTTGCAACTATATTTGTCATGATATTAAAATCTGCGTATCGCAAAATTTCAACCAGGTGTACATTGCGAGAACATATTAGAAAATATATTTCATGCATGGAATGAAAGATAACGACATATAACAAGATTACAAGAGTAATGATATATCTTCTCATATCTTCCGGTATACAATTCGATGCTGGGCAGTCTATACCATTCTTTTTCGTAGTATCCATATATATACATTATTACTAAAATTACAATCAGACTGAACAAGTTTATATTAATTTAAGCTTTATAAAAACTAGTATTAGCATATTAAATGGAAATTATCCAGTTAGGACTAGGATTATGAAGGATTTGAAATTACAACAAATTAAGATGGAATAATTATTATTCCACCAAAATAGATGAGGTGGAAATGACAAAAATATTCTTTCTCAGTTTCAGTGATAGTTAATAATTGTTGTAGGAAATTTATCATTTATCAGTTAATCATTTATTTGACCTGGTGAATACCAGTTGATCCTTCATTTGACCTGGACTAATTATTTGGTAGAGTTGAGTAGAGAGGGTCTTTGTTGGGGTGGAGATTCTAGAGTTGGTCTAACTTGGGCTGGTGATTCTTCAGTTGATCCATTTTAGGTTTTGGGCACGTATACATAAGATATCTTTATTAGAGATATGGTCTTGATTTTACGCACATGCAATTGAATTTCCTCCTAAGCTACTGGCTGAAAGTGACTCATCTACGCCATTGAACAATTTCTTTCCACTCTTTCTTGCATAAAAATACATTTCGGATATTATCCACAATAGTTTGTTTGTACAAAACGAACCCAATAACAGCAAGTAAAAAAGAAATCCGACGCACATCTCAATCAGTTTTTTGTTTAATTAACCTACCAATTACAATCCGTTTCAAGTCACCGGCTTTGCAGTCTGCCTTTTGTCTTGAGCCTTATTGGTGACAATTTATTTTGTTTTTATAGTTACTTCCGTTGACAAACTTGACACACTCATATTCTTCTGAACCCACTTTCAAGGAAATTAAGATGTAGTCAAAAAGAAAATATTTTGCCTTTTCAGCTTATTCTTTGTAAAACTTCTACTGGTTAGATGGCACCACATCCTCTCTTCTCCAAGCAAAATCTCTTTTCACTGTTTAACAGTAGAATCAACACTTGGGTGCATTTTGATCATCTAAAATTTTTTACGGCCCCACGCCTTGTTGTTCATATTTCTCGGTACTATAAGCATTGCAGGTTCACATACTGGCGTTCAGCCTGCTAAATGGTTAATTCCGACGTTTCTTAATCGGGCAAGAATTCCTCGCTGAGGAAATTTTAATTTTTTGAGGGAGGAAAATTTACTCAGCTTCACAGTAGCCACAGTCACTATTTATTGCCCCAATTTATTTTTTAAATTGAATTTCACAGTTTTAAATCTGAATATTTTTATTTGAATATGCGTCGTCTCTGTTCGTGTCCTAAAATGCCTGATTCTTCCTACAATTGTAAATGATGTTCAACTGCGTCTAGCATTCAAAACTTACAAGCCTTCTAAAACTAATCCCAACTTCATGCTAACACAGAAAGTATATCAAAGACACTTTTATTCTTTTATTGTATTCAACGACTTTCATATCAAACGAATGGAGATGCACATTCGAATGTAACTGGATCAGTAATCTTTAGCACACACACATTGTGGCACCTGAAAAATTTATGATATATATATATATTTTATGATGTATTAATCTAACATTTATTATCATTTTGCATTCAATTTTTTTTATTATCTACAATCTATTGCCTCCTATTTCATTGTGAATACTTTTTAATCATATAGAGAAGTTAATTACAAGTTAAAAAGATACAGTTATATTATTAGTATTCATTTTCCCCAGTGAAAATGAACAGAAGTTGAACAAATTCAATTAAATGTACATGTTATTAGTGGGAAAATAAACAAAAATAAGGACACAAAAAAGGACATTTACATTGTATGGATACCCCTGGTATACTTGAACCACAATGCTATCTATGCATTTGCATTTATCTTCACATATCTGAGGACTGGATGCTGTGATACTTAAAAACAAAACAAAGGTGAAAATTTATGTAAATACATCAGTAAGGTTCATTTTGCGATTATTGAACACACTCAATTTTTAAAACTACTTTATCTGAGACTACAATTCCAACTCTGGAGATAAATTATACCTATGGAATTGTCGCGAATAAAATTTTGATTTGAATTAATCAACTCCTCATATCAAATCAAATTAATATATATACTCCTCATTCGAGGAACTTCAAATACCTATATATTTTTCCTAGAAATAATCGAAATATTCTAGGATCATGGCACCATCTACTCAAATCAAATGTCCCCAGAACTGAGACGTTTCGTTTTCAGCATAGCCTTTTTCTACGTTCAAGTCCAATTGATTCAACCATCTTTAGGTACCAATTATTTGAATTCGAATAGTTTATAGCTAATTGTGTTTTTTAAAGCCGAGAAAAACATGAATTTAACAAAATGATCTAGCGGAGTATTTCTTCCCCATAATCATTGAAATAACTCAATGAATTAATCCGTTGTTGAAGTGCGAGTATTGAAAAATACTTTTTACTCGCATTCTACATAAAATTGACAATATTTTCATGGAAATTACGAGATGTAAACTTCGCATAATTATGCTTACTAGCAACAAGAAGCTTGTAAACCTATTTCATTCCCATTCGGATCCCTCCTAATCACGTGACAAGTCTGCTGTCTGCATATTACTCTACTCTCTTTACACGGAGAGTAAGACCACCTGAAAAAAATTTTGACACTATGATTGTAAAAATTCGAAATATTTCACCAATTTTTATGAATTAATTTTTTAATTTTTTTACTTCTCTCAAATGGTATAAAGCGCGAACTACGTTTTCGTTACGATTACAACAGTTTATTAATTAGTTTTTTCACTAAAATAAAATAAATCAACGAACAAAACCCAAAAATAGTTTTGACAGCAAATATATGAGAATACACAAACAATTTGCGATTACAACTTGTGCATATTTGTAATTGCTTCTCTAGCAATTAATTGAAATTTTTAATAAAATAATTTTCTAAAATCATTTTATGTATATATAGTCCGACACATAAGGGGCCTTTTTGGGCCCAACCTTGTTTTCAGACATAAAGTTTTTTTTATTTATGAATATTCATCTTGGGGTCATTGCCCATCATTTCTACATGGGTGTGGAGTTTGCAGCTTTGAACAATTATTTCTACGGCTTGATATTTGTATTAGTTAGTGTTTTTCGTCAAATCTGTGCACCCTCATGGCGCACAACCTGAACCCTAACCTGTTAACACTACTGTGTTCAGGTTGTGCGCCATCTTGGTGCACAAACTACGAAAGCACTAAAATTTACTAGGGAATAAAGTCTTTTAGGTACTTTTTGAACCCAGCTTTGGGTCGCGACCCATATATATGCAAATACTGTTGAAACATACGGGTAAAATAAAGAGTACTACTTCAAAATACCCGCTTTAGTTGCAATTAACAATACAAGACTGCTAATGAAGTCGGCAGTGGTTCAAGTTGATATACACCCGGTGGAGAACAGTCAATTATTTGTTAGCAAAGATTGTTATGTATCGGGAAGGTTACGACGATGCAGTGAAAGATAATGCTATCACGAAAACAAGAATGAGAAAATTGCGACATTTCATAGTATATATATTTCCCTGGGAAAGAATGTAGTTCATTCTTATGTTCCATGCTTTTCAAACTGCCAAAGACTCTCAACACTTTAGCTTCTCTTCTATAAAAATACATTGTTATTATATATTCGCATTTCCATCTATTTGTTCGTGCTCCCAGATAACCGATCAGTGGCCTATCATAAACTAAAAAAGGCGACCGTGCTTCTCTTGCCTGTTGTCATGCTGTCCCTCGAGTTCAATTACAACAAAAAATTCACGAAAACGGGTTTTAGATTTTATGATTTCATTAATATTCTCAACAATGAATGATATAAGGGTGGTAAAATGCCAAGGTACTCCAACAACATGATCATGTTTTGCAACTTACAACCAATATTTTGTATGTAACTTTGTTTGACAGAGCCTCAAGAGGTCTAACTACAAATATCAAAAATGTGAGGTTAAAAAGCATTACATGAAAAATGGTAAAATAAAGATCAATTCACCAATATCTACTTAGAACTTAGTGATGTGCATCTGTTAATGTTTTTATGTGTTTTAGCGATTCCTAGATATATTCGCGCTATCGCATCTGAACAGCGTGGAAAAGTTTATACCTATCTATGCACTTGAAAAACTATGTCAGATGAGCGTCATATTATCGAATATCAGTAAAGGAATAGTGCAATGGGAAAAGACATATATGGCGTAACTTTCAGTAATATGCAATCAAATAATCTTACTGTATAGAATATATATTTAAAAAAAACATTTCGTCACGCCAACCGCAGTCCGAAACCTTTTGTCTCTGGCTGAGCTTAGATACCAATTGGCACTCATGTAAACTGGTAAGAGGCACGCGATGGAGCAGATAATATGAGTATTCACCCCCCAGCTGTCATTTGAGTGGGTACTGCTGTTTTTATTGCAGATGATACTGATCTTTTTGTATTAAAGGTTTACTGGCATCACCGATTTGAGGATGTCAAGTGATGGATATAAAGGAACCAGTTGAAAACCAACACGCAATATTTACAAAGCTTACTTCCAACATGCGGTTTGAATGTACGAAAAAGCTGAAACTAGTATTCTTTAGAACAGCATACAAATTCTATGGAATGAAATCATACACAAAATCTCGTCAAAAACCCATAGCTCAATAAACAAATGGAATTTGATGCATGTGCGCATTACAACGTACAATCGAAGCACGCAGGGAAATGTGTGTGATGTACTAGTGATCTAAATGTTTGACTCAACTATGTGGGTATAACAGGTGAACATCTCGGTTTCGCATACGCATACCTTCTATCTTCACAAGAATATATTAATTTGGACAAAGTCAATGCTGCACCTGAAAGGTTCCGGTTCTTCCAAAAGAAAACACGTTACACATCCTTAGATATCAGTGGATGGTTTTACCTTGTTTGGAGTGAAAGACGAGGTCGGATATTCCAATTCATTTCAACTAATAAAATATTTCCCAAGTCCCTAAGCTTTAAGCAGGAAAACGAAATGCCCGCGGCAACACAAATGTAGTTTGAAGAACGCAAAAAAGTGGCTAGATGCTGTCGATGAATCTTGGCCCATATTAGTGAAATAAACTACAATTTATTCACAACCTGAACATTGTATGTGTACGAGGCTAGGGTCCAGGATTTGCGTCATTTTGGTACTAATACTTGAAATCCACTTAAAAAAATTGCTCAAAATCATATACTCCACACCCACCTGGGTATCAATATTTATGTCATCGACATTATATCTAAACAATAAAAAAAACTTTATGTCTCAAAACAATGTTAAAACCCAATGGGATCGGCCTGGTCATAAAGGGGTACCCTGTGTCATAATTTGGGATTATGGCTAAATTAAATGTATTTTGGGGGGTCAATAGTATTTCATAGTGGTCTGCATGTGAACAAAACCAATTTCAAAACTCGAAAGGTTTGAGTTTAAATTATCCATGCTTGATCCGAGTGTTCTTAATTACGGTGACGTCATCATATTTTTTTATGTATAATTTTTATTTTGAAACAAGGTCAATTTTATTTGTATGAGTATTTCAAAGCTTAAAAATAAACAAAGAATCTGTTGTTAGTTGAAAACGAAGTATTTTGAACGCGCGAGCAACGTTCTCCGACTCATAATAAACAAACAAAGATACCAGACAGCACGCGATCAAATGCTCTTGGATAAAACGAATATCACTTCACTTACAAATCCCACTCTTGTTTTATTTTAAAGGTGACGTGAAGCTCTTCTAAAAGAGAACTCTTTCTCTTGCATATCAATCACGTGTCGACCACAGCGTTAAAAGTGAGAAACTTTTTCTCGAAATTTTTTGAAATTTCTCTCTTCTTACCGGCGTACGGCCGTACACATTTGCGCTACGTAATTTGGGCGCATTTTAGTGGAAAGCGAAGAAAATAAGCTTTTTAAGGACACATTAATGATGTTTTTGGCATTTTGGTTGGTGAAATATTAAAAAAATTATAGAGGGGTGTCAAAATGACCCAGGAACACCGGGGGTTATTAGGGCCCGATTCTGCTGGACTAATATAGAATATACAAAGATGTTCCGTCTCTCCATTATATATATTTATATGCGACCGAATATTCAGTTTTTTTGCGAGTTGGCGCTTACAAACTAATTTGCATGTTTAAAACCATCATTATCCGTATGCACTTCAATTACTGCTCTAAAATGGTTTACAGTGCTATGTTTTCGTTACGATTACAACAGCCGTAATACTGGATGATTCCATTGTAAAGTGGATTGAGGCGATCGTGTCATTATGACATATTGTAGAATGCACGACGAATCCTAATCTGTTTAATCGAATAGATGATTAGCAATAGTTATATAAATAAAAATGAGTTCGATAATCAGGGAACGGGAAAATCAATGAAAAACAGTTCTTGAACAATACACCGTATTTGTTTAATGCGCAAAAGAGCAAAATACAAACATTATATAGAAAATGGTGTACAGTATCCATCCTGAAATGCCACGGGTATTTCTGCTACATAGATCAATAATGAATTTGTCATTTTATATTTCTCAATTTTCCTAATGTACAAAGAAATTTACAATATAGGAAAATGATTCAATAAAGACATAGTCACGGAAAAACAAATATGCAAAACATGAGGAAAGAGTAGATGATGCAAAAGCTGAAATATACTTACCTCGGCTGACATTGACACAAATTACAATACACCATGCTAGCAAACCCTAAAATGAGTAAAGCCACAAAATGGCGAATCATTGTATTCGTTTTGTATCTGGAATAAATTTCACGTATATACTTGAAAGAATAAATTGTGGTTTCAATCTAAAAATATTATGAATTTTATTTTATAACGGAGTCGAAGTTCTGAACTAATCGGAGCAATGTTAATTTGCAATAGTACTTTAATCTTGTATTATATTTCTGTATGTTTTCTATATCAGATATCAATAAGATTCCTAGTTTTACGTGATTTAGATAAAACAGGGATTTTAAACTTAGTAATTAAAAATTGCTTAGTTTACTGTGTCTGACACTGCTGAGTTTCAAGTATATATCAGTGCGAAAGTTATATCACCTCGCAACACTGTAATCTAAATCTGTTTGACGTTACAATCCTTCTGCAAACTATTGTGAATTCTAACTCTAATTGGAATTATCTCGGCACATTCATTTATTTAGTATATCCGGACAAAATTGTATCTTTTATCGCATCTGCAAAATGTAATAAACATAAATAGTGGTTCTCATATACGCACGACGTGTTTATAATTTAGTTTAGTCCAGCGGATTAGACCTCAAATATAATAGAATTGTGCACTTTTGGATGCAAGAATGAAACTTGGCACACATGTACAGTAGCATCTTCTGCTTAATTTTGGATATGGTGCCATCCATAAAAATATCTCGTTGCCATGGAAACGAGGCATCATCCGTATTGCTATCCAAGTGTAAGAAACATTTTTAGGAAATAAGATTTCCAAGATAAGTAAACCGATGTGTATTTAAGAAGTGAGGAATATGATAAAAAGTGCATTTTGACAATTGCCCTTGATAACAGAATACCTGATTACCATGGAAACGAGGTATCGTTATCGGCCAAACACGATTATTAGTCGCAAAACCTGAACGCTAACCGGAACACAAATACTACGTTCATGTTGTGCGCCAACTTGGTGCACATACTTCTTGAGCTCAATCATCCCTACCATATTATAGTTGATATGATATCCCAGCCAAACTACGCTTGGAAAAATTACCGTGTTTTCACGCATCGACTGCACCGAATTAGCAATAAATTTTCATAATCAATTGTAAATTCTTTGTTTATTGAATAAACAGATTGGTACTGATTTCACCTCGCTTGTTACAAACTTGGCTTTGTTTTGGAGCAATTCCTATTGTGTTCGACACGAGCGGGAAGTATTCCTGTTATTGTCATGAACCACAAATTAAGCTACATTCACTTTCAAAATGTAATTCCTTTTGTGCTCAATCAACTGCCATTGTCAATGGTATATTTTTTTAAACTCATAGCCACATACAGCTGGTGAAAATATAAAATATATATGAAACAAACTTTTAGGTACATTCTACTCTTCCATATATTGCCGTTGGCTATCTGTGTCGTGTGAAAATAGTAAATATCTATATTGCCCTTCTAATAATCAGAATTCAATTAACAATAAACATTAATACTACTTTCCTCTCGAAAATCGTGTGCACTAAGCTCAAACAAACCTTAATATATTCACTACATTTTATAAGACTGCAATTCTATTGAATACCAGGCAACATACTGTTCTATATCTGTCACAATGATTGTGATCGCGGTGCTCAGGAAATGTGTTTTCGACATTGTTATTTAACGGTAATAAATTCGGCGGATCGATATAATAAATAGCGGTTTAAGACCGTAATATGTATGGAATAATATTATGTGTACAAGGATTGAGATTAGATTATGGGAATCACTTTTTATGGCTTATATCTTGACAGGTTGGTGGACCGAAATAAGAGAAGGGAAATGTTTTCTACTCGGCGTAGTTTATCTTACCCCAGCAGGTGTGGGAAATCACTTTCCTGAGGGGGTCCAGTTACAGATAATAGACTTAGTTAGTGGGCTATGAAGTGAAGTGAGCTTTATAACCGTATCTGCTGATTTTAAGCTCCTGTGTCGAAAATTGTTGACGAAAATCTTATATATATATGTTTTGTTCAAAAAAAAAAGGTCTCGTAATGTTATATTCTCCTAATACCAGGAACCCTTCATTACAAATTAAGCAGGCAGTTGAATATTGTCTTTAAAAAAATACGTCTCTCCATTTCTTATTAAAAACGTCATTCGGAATCCACATTGCGTTTCCCACTCATACTGATGGATTTGTTAGAGCGGCTGGCAAATTACGGCAGCTGCAGAGAGAATGTTGGTAGAAAAATAAGTACAAACCTAGACTGAAATTTATATAATAAACAGCATAATGTAGCAATCAGGTCATCTTGGATGAGTTTTAGGTATATGTGGCTGGTTTTCCACATTATTTACAGGTGCAGATATAATACATGGGTATATCTTAGCCGACGACTCGTTAGTTTCAACGCAATCTCATGAATCAGTATTTTGAGTTCGATTTTCCTATACTTATAACACAAATGACATATTTAACATGGCGACCTATACAAATCCATATCCAGTTTTTGTTACGACATAGACATAAGTTACGTAAAAAAAAATAATTGATATGTTGGAGTATTTTACAATTTTTCAAAATTACACAATCGTAGTTTTACACTTCAGAATGGAATTAAAAATTGAAGATTATACATTTTCGTCACGATCATAAATCTATCTTATTAGCAGGTCTTGTGCCCAACATTTGAATCTTTTTACAGGACAAATGTTTCTTGTTGGAAAATTATTAGAAGCGTTAAGTGAGAAAGTACTTTACCTCAACAATGATCATATATTCTAAGTTACCATAAACTAAGTAATTACAAGCAAAGCTTTTTTTTATAAAAAGATAAAAAGAAGTGTTTAAAAATTTTGCCAGAACCAGCGAGCTCACAAAAAATTCTTTCTCTGAGATCTAATCATATATATTAAATAAACTATTATGGAGGACCAAAAATATTGACATGATCATGAATAATTAAATTCAGAAGCATATGAATGAATTCAGAAACTTGATATGAACTCGTACATCGTATCGATAGGTCGATTGGTTTATTCAACGCCAGGTCATGCCATTCGTGTTGAACGTATTGGAAAATCGAACTCAAAACTCTGATTCATGAGGTATTTTTTTTCGATTGTCAGATTTGGAAAAATACCTAAAGCAATGTTTAATATTGTTTCATGGAAAACTGATGTATCTGAAAAATATTCTTGACGTAGAAACAATCGGAACATCTTAAATAATGACCACCATGACGCAAATCAACGCGATAATACAATATCTCATTTGAGAAAAATATGACTAAATCATAAGCATATCGTGCGTATACAGGAATCACTATTTACGATCAATACATTTCGCAGATGCGGTAAAAGATACAATTTTGCTTGGTAATTTTGTCCGGGCATACTGAGATAAACATGTTTTGCAAACGCGTTTCTGAACAATGCAATACAGGTTTAAATATATACGTATCAATGTGTTCAAATTTTGCAGGATATTGCTCAGTGGTGTTTAATCGCGATTGGATTCATTCTAGCTGTAATCTTCGTTGGTGTAGACACAGGTGACCGAAATATTTTGGATGGATCACAAACTAGTTTTTGTGTTATATTTTAGCAAGAAAATTTTTGTAAATTTATCAGTTTGAATAGAAAAGCTGTTGAAACAAAACAACACGAGAACAATATTTTTCATTTCATTTCAACTGAATGTAAACTAGTAAGATATATTTGTAGACAAGATATTGGAAGGTAAATTTGGTCCTAGAATAAATAGTTTGTAAAACCTGTTCCTTTTATAAAGTGAATAAAGCTTTTATAAGTTAGTGCATGATTGAATATTTAACAAAGCATTGGACTAATATTCGTTTTTTATCAGCCATATTTGGTACTGTTTTGTGTACGTTTTTATATGAATATAAAGTACAAAGACTACTATGAGATTCTAATATAGTTTCTGGGTAATCGGCACAGTCACGAAAAATCAATAAGGAAATGATTTCTGTCAATTCTGAGTTTGGTTTGATTATACTTTTCAATTTTTAGTGCACCGGGCATTGATGACGTTTAAAAGATATCCATTTTTTTAGACAATACCCTGACATTGAATATGCCTTTCCAAAGTCCTGATCGGTCTCAAATCGAATTTTGAAACTTACATGACTGTACGATTTAAAAATAAGCTCGGTTAGGGAAGCCGTAGATAGATAATCAAAACTTCAATATTTCAATTATCTTCAGCATTTTATCTGCCAGGCTGCAACTATTAGTTTTTGAAGCAATTCAACCAAGTGACATCAGTAACTCCACAACGATCACATGTTTTTTTGTATTAAGTGGATATCAAATTCCAACATTATTTTCTCTTCATTTCATTTATCACGCTTATCCATGAACCTTGACACAATATTTTATAGGTCAACTTTTATTTTTATAAATTTCATTCATTTTATGGCGCCATTTTTATTTGAAATATAGTTCCACGATCCGGCATATATAGTTTGCATGATGCGAATGAATTTCACCCTACGCTACTGGCTGATAGCGACTCACCTACGCCATGGAACAGTTTTCTTTTTTTCTTTCTTGCAAAAAAATACATTTCGAATATTATCCATAATAGTTTGTTTGTGCAAAGCAAACCCAATACTAACCAGTAAAAAGAAATCAGACGCGCATCTCATTCATTTTTTTTGTTTGACCTACCAATTACAACCCGTTCTAAGTCACCAACTTCGCAATCTGATTTTTGTTTTTTCCACGTTGGTGACTAATTATTTTGTTGTTATAGCTACTTTCGTTAACAAAATTGACAAACCCATATTTACCTTTCCTTTCAATCATAATTACTATTCAATTCCCTATTTTTTTATTTTGTAAAGGAAAATTTACAGCTTTAAACCTGAATAAATATTTCTATTCGAATATGCAGCGTCTATGTTCGGTCCTAAAATGTCCGATCCTTCTTACCATTGTATGTGATGTGCAACCGCGTCCATTATGCAAAGCTTTTCAAGTCTTCTAAAACTAACCCCAACTTCACTCCAACGCGGGAAGTATATCAAAGACACTTTTATATTTTAATTGTATTCATTAACTTTCAATTCAAACGAATACAGATGCCCGTTTAAATGTCCTTGGATCAATATACTTCCAAACACGTACATTGTGGCACCTGTAAAAACGATAATGTAAATAATGATATATATATATATACATAATTTATTATGTATTAATCTATTATCATTTTGTATTTAAATTTTTATTATCTATGAGCTCTTACCCTTATTTCATTGTATATACTTTTCAATTACAGAGAATTTACAAAAACGTTAAAAAAGCTATATGGATATTACTAAAGTAATAATATTTCCAGTGAAATTAGGCGAAAGTTGAACAAATTCAATCAAATATACATAAGTGTTATTAGTGCGATGGTAGACAAAAATAACGATAAAAATAAGTTGACATTTACTTCATAGTAATTGCCCTCGTATTCTTGATACACGATTCTATCCATGCATTTGCAGAATTCTCCACAACTCTCAGGTTCTGAATTGGGACTTAAAAATAAAAAAAATATGAAAATTTGTCGCAGAATAATGTGCCAACAACTAAAATGTTTCGTTTTCAGCACATTCTCAATTTACTTTTTTTTTTAATAAAATTCATTTAAAAATGTAAAAAAAGATAATAACGTTCTAGTGCAGGAGTTCTCGAAATTTCAGTGTTATGGAGCCCGTGAAAAGGGTGGCTATTATTTGCGGAGCCCCACAATAAGTAAACATATGTTATCTTTACGATATTTAGCCATTTATCCACCGTAAGGGCTAAAAAAAACAATGACATTTTCACCCTCGAAATACAAGTAATCACGCTTCTTATATATATATACCTAGGCTGACCATCTACAAAATTAAAATCGTTACTGGAAATACAACAGATTATTCGACCATTCCAACAGAAACAGACCGAATACACTGACTATGATTTGTGATTGATGATCGATCAGTTGCAAGATGCTTCCAGCTAAAAACGTTACTAAAATTCAGCATTGCTAGTTTATTTATTAACTACTGAACATTTTCTAATATAGGGTTGAATAAAGCTAGAAATAAATCTAAATTTCGCAAATAAATTATACTAACTCTGGACATTTGTCACTTGACAAACATAGAAAGTAGTGTAGAAATGTGGAAACGAGGCGAAAATTGAAACATAGCGTTATCTATTGGAACTTACAGATAATGTCATATTTGAATTAATAACGTGTTGCCACATTTCGACGCTTCCGTTGTCAAATTTTATTAATGCAGTTATTTCATCTTTGAACAGATTCAAAATTAGCCAAGTCAGTAATTTAATAAGTACACGAATTGCTCGCGGAGCCATAGGTTTCTCTCACGAATCCCTGCGGCTCCGTATGAAGCACTTTGAGAATCTATAAATTGAGCCATCCCTAAGAACTAAGTATTTGAAATTGATTGACATATAGATAACTATTTTTAAATGAAACGATCTATAGGTTTATTTCATCCCAATAGTATTCAAAATACCTCAATTAATTAATCCTCCACCACTCAAGTACGTTGAAGAGCTTTAACAAAAATAGTTTTTACTCGCATTCCGCACGGAAATGACAATTTCTTCATGAAAATTGCAAGAATTAGAACTTTGCATAAACCTCGCATAATTATACTCACAGACAACAAGTAGCTGGTAAGCTTATTTCATTCCCTTCCGGATCGTTTTTATTCACAAAACAAAGAGACCGTTTGCATTCTTTCTGCGATTCACACTGAAAGTTCCGAAAACTGAAAAAAAAAAAATTAGGATTGTGAAAATTCGAGATATTTTACTATTTGTAGAATTATGCGGTGAAAATTAATGATGATATAGATGGAAAATATATTTTTCTAAATTGAACTAAATTAACAACTAGAAACCCAAAAATATTTTTGTACAGTAAATATATTACACAACACAAACAATTTTTGATTGCAATTTTCGCATATTATTTCAGCAATTATTTGAAATTTTTAATACGATAGTTGCCCAAAAGCATTGTATAGATTAGAATATACCAAGATAAATGTGCGGTCTATCCATTTTTTGTATTTATATGTGACCGAATAATCAATGATAAAACAAAATTGATGTCTTCTCACATGTTGCTCCAAAAATGAATGCTTCCTAAGACCCTTATATAATTTACCATTGTAACATTATTCATGCTTACTTTATTTGTACGTGTTTGGCGCTAATTTACATGTTCAAAACCACCATTTTCATTTGAAATATTCAATCACGTGTCAATATAATGTATCGGCAGCTAATGTTAGCCCGGTCTATCAGCTTTACCAGATTGAATGCAAAGCATGAGGAAAGCGTAAATGATGTAAAAGCTAAACAAATACTTACGTCGGCCGACATTTGCACAATTGACAGTACACCAAGCTAGCAAACCCTAAAATGAGTAAAGTCACAAAAAGGCGAACCATTGTTTTCGTTTTGTATCTGTAATAAATTTCACGTGTTTACTTCTAAAGATTGTCAACTTCTTTAGAAAAATACTACAATATTATCTTCATCATGTTTTGATAAAGAGAAAGCGGACGTCTAATTTATAAATTTAAAGTTTGGGCAATCAGGATTGGGTAGTCAGTCGCTTGAAAGTTTTGAGGCCTATTACAATATATACAGCAAAACTAAATTGTGTCGTCAATATGAAAATATTATCAATTCTATATTCCATAACGTAGTGGAAGTTCTTGATCGATCGGAACAATGTTTAATTAGCAATTGAATTCTAATTTTGTACTATATTTTTGTATGGTTTCCATACCAGGTATCAACAAGATTCATAGTTTTACATGATTGCGGTAAAACAGGGATTTTAACTTAGTTATAGTAAAATAGCTTAGTTTACTGTGTCTGACACTGTTGAGTTTCAAGCAGTGGTGAGCTGTAGCCGGAGCGCACCGGAACGGCGTTCCGGTTGTTGGACATTTTACTGCATTTGAGTTCTTTTCGTTGAAATAAAATTATGCTACATAAAGTCTAGTTTCTTTGGTAAATTCAGTTTTGTTTATGTTTTGTTACATCATATTAACTAAGTCTTTTTACGTCACATCACGCAAATAATAGTACAGTAGTAACGTGTATTAGGTGTTTCTCCGACCTTTAACCACATGAATATCCATTCTATACCTTTTAAATAATAAGATTTGTATTGAATTGCTATGACTACTATTATAATTTTACACAAACATATTTCATTTCTTCCCAGTTCATTGCAGTTCTGTAAACGTCCGCGTCGTGTTGTGAATATATTACATTTTTTGCGAATTAGGTGCGTTCCTGTTGTTACAATTTTTCCAGCTCATCACTGGTTTCAAGTATATCAGTGCGAAAGTTATATGACCTCGCAACAGTGTCTAAATCTGTTTGAGGTTACAAGTCTTCTGCAAACTATTGTGACATGATTAAATATATATGAATAATTGAATTTGCTAGTATATATTGCCACATCTTTTCGATTAATCTCTGAAACATACCAAGTGTTTTTGATACAACTATTCGCTAAAAATGAAACAGGTTTGCGCGTTGATGCCTTTTGTCCAAGCATGTCTTTATGATAACGCATTATTACATATTTGCAATTTGTAGTTTCAAATTCTTGGCTTTCCAATTTCTTATGCCAGAAAACCGCTATTAAGCGTTTTCAACATGCAGAGGTAAGATCCGTGATCAAAAAAAAAAATTTCAAGATTGAAAAGATTGCACGTAAGAACCACTCCTGTCCTGTTTGATGCAGTAAACAAATGTGACATGCCTTCAAGCGTTTATCGTTTCTTCCCTCGCCACTACACATATAATTGATAATAGGCCACGTCTCGTTAATCGATCTCATGTGTTGTATACAAAGCCTTTCTTTGCTGTACTTTCAATATATTGGGTTGTATGTTTGGTCTTTCTGTCATTATCATACCCCTGCTGTAGTCTATAGACATTTTTCGTTCATTGGCTTCTTTCCAGATGTCTTCAAATAAGTCAACCATGGATGAACGATTTATGATAACCGGGGCCCCTGTTTCGGAAAACCGAGTCCATATTTGCCGCTTTCAGAGAGACGGTGGTTTTTGATCCTTGAGGAATTAAACCAGACGTATCAATGGTAAAACTACCCAAATGAGTTACATTCGACTATTTCTATAATTTCTTAAATTGTGACTGGACTTAAAATTTTATATTTTCATGAATTTTTTACTTTACAAAGGACATGACATTTATTTCCATTCTATTTAGTTTAAATATCAAGAGTTGTTTACAATGAAAACATAAGCCAAATGATTAGAACTATTTTTCTTAATAAATATGCGCCTGTACCGATTATAAAAATTAATATGTCGTTAATGACCGAGCATTTTAAATCACTGTTTACATATACTTTCACTCTGTTGTTTTTTTATTCGAAATAGAAAGAAATAATCAGTTGTTCCTTGAATTTAGTTGCTGTTGTATCACAACCATACAATTTCAGATATTTGCTGTTCTCTGTGGTCACATTTGAAATCTCTGCTGCCACCATGCGACTAAGTAGTAATCAATCTTGAATTTTTGAATGTGACAATGGTACAATTGATTGACCACAAATGGTGTCACAGATGGAAGCTCTTGGGCTCAACCCTAAAAAATTATGTTTCTTTCAAAATGGCAGCTACTTGCATATCAGGGGTTTTTGTTTGAAGTAATGTTTTGAGTGGAGAGATGAAACGCCCAATAAAATATAAACTGGAAAGATTTCGATTTTCCTGAAAATATTTTAATTTTTTGAAAGATAGACAATTTTGCTTGCTAATTTTGTCCGGGTATACCGAGATAAATCTGTTTTTTTCAGTTTTGCAAACGCGTTTCTGAACAATACAATACAGGTTTGAATATATACGTATCAATGTGTTCAAATTTTGCAGGATATTGCTCAGTGGTGTTTAATTGCGATTGGATTTATTCTAGCTGTAATCTTCGTTGGTGTAGGCACAGGTGACCGAAATATTTTGGATAGATCACAAACTAGTTTTTGTGTTATATTTTAGCAAGAAAATGTTTGTAAATCTATCAGTTTGAATAGAAAAGTTGTTGAAACAAAACAACACCAGTAAAATATTTATTTTCATTTCAACTGAATGTAAACTAGTAAGATATATTTGTAGACAAGATATTGGAAGATAAATTTGGTCCTAGAATAAATAGTTTGTAAAAACTGTTCCTTTTTTAAAGTGAATAAAGCTTTTATAAGTTAGTGCTTGATTGAATATTTAACAAAACATTGGACTAATATTCGTTTTTTATCAGCCATATTTGGTACTGTTTTGTGTACGTTTTTATATGAATATAAAGTATAAAGGGTGCTACTATGAGATTCTAATATAGTTTCTGGGTAATCGGCACAGTCACGAAAAATCAATAAGGAAATAATTTCTGTCAATTCTGAGTTTGGTTTGATTATACTTTTCAATTTTTAGTGCACCGGGCATTGATGACGTTTAAAAGATATCCAGTTTTTCAAACAATACCCTGACATTGAATATGCTATTCCAAAGTCCTGATCGGTCTCAAATCGAATTTTGAAACTTACATGACTGTACGATTTGAAAATAAGCTCGGTTAGGGAAGCCGTAATTAGATAATCAAAACTTTAATATTCCAACGAGAATTTCGGTTAGAGACCGGAGACTTATCGATCGAAAGTTAGGGGATCCCCTAGAACAGAAACTGCGATTTCGATTCGAAAAATTCTGCAAACCCGAACTGGATTGTTTTGAATAGTTTTCAGCCAATATCAAAAATGTAGAAAAAAATAGCCAACTCCCCATGTCGTCGACGAAATACAACTACTCGATGAAATACTTTTATGAAGAATTCTGCAAATCCGAACTGAATTGTTTCGATTAGTTTCCAGCCAATAGCCTATTTACCAATCCTATATTTGTGTCAAATACAACGGCGCTAACCCGGGTTGCGACGGCTATTCAAACACAGCCTAGCCATATTTTGGTGAGGAATTCTGCAACCCCGAACCTGATAGAGGGATATGGACATTGCTTAAACTTTAAAGAGTAATTATAAGTAACGAGATACGATTTCGCGGCATGTAACCTTCGCTCTGACTCAATAGCGTGGAAAATTTCTCGAAAGAAACTTGCGCATCGCGACGACGTCAAAGTTACAAGAGAGATAGGGACAATGCTTAAAGATTAATCACGAGATACGATCTAGCGGTGTGTATCCTTCGCTCTGACCAATGACATTAAACAACATGATGCGCAACTCCGGCATTTTTGTCCGAAGATCGTATTCGATAGCACGCTCCAATGCACATACTTGACGAGACGAAAACGAGCGGATGTGTGCTGCTTTCAAGGCGTAGCACGAATGGTGTTCGTGCCTGCTTTGACAGTTGTTGTCGATTTTAATGATATTTTTGAAAGTTGGGGTAAAAAGAAATCGGTAAATGGTAAGGTGAATACTATTGTTGTATATCACACCCGGGCATCGCACTGTTAAGTACATGTGGGAAAGCCAGCCTTTGTCAAATACTACGAAGTTATTAATTCAGTACGGTACGTAGTTGCCCATTTGCCGAAATTACATATTTACTTACCCCTCATGGTTTCAAATAGTTCATGCACCTCCAGTTAGATTTTTTTAATCAGTGAGGATATATACTCATTGTTGATTGCTGCTCATTGTAACATACTATTACGCATTCACTTTTATTTGGGTATTGAATCAAAGTGTTAACAAGTTCACCTAACATTTCACTCATACCGGTCTATATTGTATAGTCTGATTTCTCAAGTATTTGGAGCCACGAATGCTTGTAATTTTCCGACTAAACCCTTTTATTAGTTGGTTTATATACCAAATTCAGTAAAATATTTTTTAAATAAAACATGAGATATTGGATTTATTAGCTTTTCCATTCTGAATCATATAGACTGCTTTATTTATTCTTAACGAAAATTAATAAATCTCCTCTCTTTCTTCAGATGTGAAAGTTGTGGACAAACCTGTCTAAGCATTGTGAGACTCTTGCAGCACAAGAGGCAATAGCAGAAATAGTAAGTATATCAATCAAGAAATTAAGCCGACATAAAGCAAAACTTTCAACTATTCGTCTAATCTCAATTTCCTATTATTTATTCACAGGACAACTATAGCAGACGGGGAGATATCAGAAGTCTGGCGACATATCAGTGACAGTGTGATTCCAAGAAATATAATGCAATTGAAAATAGAAAATAGAAATTTGCAATAGAAAAACAACCTATGGAGGCATGCAAAGACATTTGACCCTCCGGTAGAGTTGTGTATGGCCCCCACATCCTGCAGGGCTTGAGGAAAATAACTAAAAATTCCAAAGCGTAAGATTGCATAAGCGGTCTTATTTGTAAAAAGGCACAAAACACGCCAGACATACTTAAAACAGCTTTGGAAATGAGGATTACGGGTACCTCACTGCACCTGTGTTATATTTGGTTCATCAACTTTTGGTAGTACTATAGAAGAAATTCCGGAAGGGGTATAATCATCATGATATAATACTATCATATTCATGATAAAATACTATCATATATTTTTTGAACAACTTCAATCTAGACCAGGGATCTCAAACTCGCGGCCCCAGAGAACTTCCAGTGCGGCCCTCGAACGCTTAACAATAATTGTAATAGTATTTTGGAAGTTTTTTTTTTATCTAAATGTAATAGATTTTTCAAACCTTCTAAAGTGAAATTGATTATTCACACAGAAAACAATTTACTGAAAGTAGTTTTGGAATATTAATTTTTTTTGTCCACATTTTGACCCAATTAAGAATACACATCAAGCTAGCAAAAGAATACTTGAATAAAACACTTGAGTAATTAAATTAAACGCAAAGTACATGAAGAAGGTGGCATTTTCGAAGAAAATGGGAGTTGTAACATTTCTGCTCTTCACAAAATTCTGAAGCACATTGTTTAATTTGTCATATTTCCATCAATACAATCAAAAAACACAATAAGCTCAGCAGTCAATATGACAACTTCGAAGACCAACTTCGAACAGAAAATTCCCATGTGTTTGTATATTAATATAATTATACAACGACTTAGTTACTAAAAATCAATATCAATAATAATTCAAGCAATCCTATGCCACGCAATGTAGTGCGAAATGTCTTGTCGAAAAAATCTGTCATTTGTTTTTTTTACTGATCTATACATGAAATGATAAAAGTAACTTTTTTGCATTACTGGAATTAATTAAACATTCGTAAAGATCCAGATAAACCCATGATCATGTGGCCTCGTTAGTTAGAGTTGGTACTATAAAATCATTTCAGACTGGCCTTAGTATGCTGGTGACACAAAAAAGATGCCAAACGCCAGGACAAATGTAATTATTAAAACATTGAGTTTATACTGTAGTATTTTTGTTAATTTTAGGTTCATATATTTAGATTAAGTTATTTTTAGTGTATGTATTATTCTTTCCTTATTCAAAGCTTGTTCAAAAATGATTTTGATGGTTGTACATAGAATTTTACGAATTTTTATAATAAATACTGTAACTTGCAAATGTTGCAATAATAGTGGAATGCAAATATTAATATGTAATTGCATTTGAAATTGAAGAAAATAATAAAACTTAATCCAACTGTTTAGTTGCATCACAATATATGTCACAAACTAAAACTATCTTAAAAATATCTTTTGAGTATACATTATCAAAAACTGTTTGCGGCTCTTTTTTACAATTTTCAAAATGCAATGCGGCTCTCGAAAACCCATGAGTTTGACACCACTGATCTATTCTAGACGATTCAAGCATTGCTTTGGGAAATTATATCACTTCAATTAAATTGAAATAATCTCGCTATATTAAATACAAGGTAAACCAATTCAGCCACTCGAAATATATTGGCCTTCACAAAGCAATGGAGGCAAAATTGAGAGTTCATGAGCTATGAACATTTGTTCTTTTCTTTGTCTTGAACTTTCCATACTCCACAGCCCCTATTAATTTTTATTAATTTTAATTACCATGTGATGGTCATACATATCTTTAACTTGTATTTTTTGTCATGATGTATTATCTCAATGTGCCAAACTATTAATTAGTGTGCATATTTTGCTTGCAGATGACATAAATGTATTGTCATGTTTATTACCTCAGCTTGGAGTATTGACAAGAAAAAGGTGCCAGTAAATTAGGTAAAAAAATTTTCAACTCATTGTTATAATCAGAATTCACAATCAATAGGAATTATAAACAGCCAACAATCAGTGAGAATTATATGCGAAATCCCTCAGAATAAATTTGTCTAAAATCGGAGGAAGGCAAAAAATATAGGTAGTTTCCATCCACACAAGCATTTCAAGAAGACTTGCTCGAGCCAAACTAAATGAGCATCGTCAGGTGATCGGTAAGGCTGCAAGTTGAATTCAGCCCTGCAACCTTCTGCATAGAAGATAATATTAATTAGTGGGCTATGAGCTAAATTCCTAAATTTAAACAAACCTATCTACGATGCATTATGTACCAGCAATGTTACCTACGATTAACTGAATATGTAATATGTCTAATAAATTCACCTACAAAAGCAAGTTCGATAGGTGCAAACTTTGTGTTATGGAATTGTATCGCAGCACAGTTTTGTATGACACCCTCTTTAAATGAAATTTCAATGATTAAGCGCAAACATTAAAATTACTAACTTTGAACTTTGTCATTATCTGCAAAATGTTCCACACAAATCTTTCCGCTATCGCGTTTGCAATCTTCTCTGATAAAAAAAAAGTCTATGATGTCCAGAATTGCTCTTTACAGCTTGCCTGTTATTCCAGCTTTCCAAGTAAGCAAAACTTCTTAGATATAGAGATTATTTTGTTTCGTTACCGGCGCAAAAAGGCAGGTACTACACGTAAAAAAGACGCCGAGTAGCAAAAGCGAGCGGAAAACGGACGCGAAAGGTGACGAGAAATATGTGCATTGGAGCGTATCATGAAATACAATGTTTTGCCTGTAGTCTTATGGAGTGACGTCAGAGTTGCCTATCATGTTGTTTAATGTCATTGCTCTGACTCACTAGCGTGAAAACTTGCGCATCGGACACGCACACACACATTCAGCGCGTCTCGAAAATCTCTCGCTTTGTAAAAATCCAGATCTCTTCATCACTAATTGATTAATAACTCGCTAATTATACGACATAATTCATCCAAAACCAATAGGCTACTGGTCCGAGATATGATGAATGCACATGCTGAATTTGGAGCAGATTCAACCACGCCTTCGTGAGATATCGCGTGCATCTAACAGACAGACATACAGACAAATACCTATCAACATACTTACCGATTAAAATCGATGAGTAATAAGCATTTTATCTGCCAGGCTGCAACTATTAGTTTTTGAAGCAATTCAACGAAGTGACATCAGTAACTCCACAACGATCACATGTTTTTTTTGTATTAATTGGATATCATATTCCAACATTATTTTCTCTTCATTTCTTTATCACGCTTATCCATGAACCTTGACACAATATTTTATAGCTCAACTTTTATTTTTATAAATTTCATTCATTTTACGGCGCCATTTTTATTTGAAATATAGTTCCACGATCCGGCATATATAGTTTACATGATTCGAATGAATTTCACCCTACGCTACTGGCTGATAGCGACTCACCTACGCCATGGAACAGTTTTCTTTTTTTCTTTCTTGCAAAAAATACATTTCGAATATTATCCATATTAGTTTGTTTGTGCAAAGCAAACCCAATACTAACCAGTAAAAAGAAATCAGACGCGCATCTCATTCATTTTTTTGTTTGACCTGCCAATCACAACCCGTTCTAAGTCACCGACTTCGCAATCTGTTTTTTATTTTATCCACCTTGGTGACTAATTATTTTGTTGTTTTAGCTACTTTCGTTAACAAACTTGACAAACCCATATTTACCTTTCTTTTCTGCCATAATTACTATTCAATTCCCTATTTTTTTTATTTTGTAAAGTAAAATTTACAGCTTTAAACCTGAATAAATATTTCGATTCGAATATGCAGCGTGTCCTAAAATGCCCGATCCTTCTTACCATTGATTGTATGTGATGTGCAACCGCGTCCATCATACAAAGCTTTTTAAGTCTTCTAAAACTAACCCCCAACTTCACTCCAACGCGGGAAGTATATCAAAGACACTTTTATATTTTAATTGTATTCATTGACTTTCAATTCAAACGAATACATTTGTCCGTTCAAATGTCCTTGGATCAATATTCTTTAGAACACCCACATTGTGGCACCTGAAAAAAAATAATAATATACTGTATATTTTATATACCAATTTTGTTATGTATTAATCTATTATCATTTTGTATTTAAATTTGTATTATATCTTGCCATAATTCAATTGTTTATACTTTTCAATTAGAGAGAATTTACATACAAGTTGAAGCAGGAGTATTACTATAGTATTCATTTTCTGCGATAAAATTAGGCGAAAGTTGAACAAATTCAATCAAATATACATATGTTCTTAGTGCGATGATAAACAAAAATAATGATAAAAATAAGTTAACATTTACTTCATAGTGATTGCCCTCGTATTCGTGATACACGATCCTATTTCTGCATTTGCAGGATTCGCCACATCTCTCAGGTTCTGAACTGGGACTTAAAAATAAAACAAAGGAGAAAATTTGTGGAAATACATGATTGAGGTTTATTTTGCGACTATTGTACACACTCAATTTTTAGGAGTAACTTATCTACGGCTCGAAGCAATTCAAAAACAAATCTCTGGAAATAATTGATAGAACTGTCGAAATTAAACGTTTGATTTGAACTAATTAGATTTGTTCGACATATTTGTTCTCGTTCAAGAAACTTCGAAATCCTATATTTTTGTCGTATAGAAACAATCGAGATATTCCAGGATCATGGCACCATCTACTCAAATCCTATCTTTGATTGTCTCAGAATAATGTGCTTACAACTTAAACGTTTCGTTTTCAGCACCTTCTCAATGTAATAAAATTTATTTAAAAACGTAAAAAGGTAATAACGTTCTAGTGCAGGTGTTCTCAAACTTTTGATAATATGCCCGGAAAAGGGTCGACTATTGTTAATCGAGCCGCACAATATGTAAACATGAGTCATTTGTAGTTGACTTGCTTTCATTTACCTCTACAATATTTAGCCATCTATCCACCGTAAGGGATAATCATAATGCCGTTTTCACCCTCGAAATACAAGTAATCACGTTTCTTATAAACATGCCTACGCTGTTAAACACAATCTACAAAACACAAACTTACTGGTTACTGGAAATGCAACAGATTATACGACGTTGCAACAGGAAAAGAGCAAATACTGACTAACATGTGTGAATGATAATCGAGCAGTTGCCAGATGCTTCCAGTCAAAAATAGCCAAAAATCTTATTTAAATTCATCATTGCTAGTTTATCAATTTTTTGTATGTATAGAATAAAAAATTAAAGAGAGTTAAACTACTAAACCTTTTCTAATAAGATTCAATAAAATCTAGAAATAAATCTAAATTTCACATATAAATTATATTAACGCTGTACATTTTATACTTGACAAACATATTAATAAAGTAGTGTCGAAATGTAGAAACAAGGCGGTAATTAAAATTTGGCATTATTCATTGGAACTTATAATCTCTTATTTGAATTAACGCAACGTTGCCACATTTTGACGCTATCGTTGTCAAATTTTATTATTGCCATCAATTGGCATATAGATAATTATTTTTTCACCAGGACAATGCCGGGAACAACATAAATTTAGCAAAACGATTTATTGGTTTTTGCCTCCCAATAGTCCTTAAAATAACTCAATAAATCATGCCGTTATTCAAGTGAGTAGACGAGCATTAAAAAATACTTTTTACTTGCATTCCGCACAAAATTTACAATTTTTTGATGAGAATTGCAAGAATCAGAACTTTGGCGCTCAAGAAGGGTTAGGGTTACGCCATACCTTTATTTCAATTTTCCGTATTTTAGTTCTATTACGAGTTCGGTAAATAGCCAAGTGACTCCCGTAGTATTTGTACCTAAAATTATAACCTAACCCTAACCTGGTACACATACGACGTTCCGGTGTCCGCCATCTTGGTGCACAAACTTATGGAGTACCGAACTTTGTATGAACTTCGCATAATTATACTTACAGGCAACAAGTAGCTGGTACCCTTATTTCCCTCCCTGTTGGATCCTTTCTGATCACATCACAAAGATACCGCATGCATTCCTTCTCCCCTTCACACGGAGAGTACCAATCAATAATACTGAAAAAATAATTAAAATTAGGATTGTGTCAATTGGGGATATTTTACTATTTTTTAGAGTTATGCGGTGAAAATTAATGATGATATGGATGAAAAATATATTTCACTAAATTGAACTAAATTAACAACTAGAAACCCAAGAATATTTTTGTACAGTAAATATACAACAAAATACAAACAAATTTCGATTACAATTCTTGCATATTTGTAATTGCTTCTCGAGCAAATAAATGAATTTTTTTTTAAATAAGTTTCGCAAAAAGTATTGTATATAGAACATAACGAGATAAATGTTTGGTTTCTCATTTTGTGTATTTATATGTGACCGAATAATCAAGGGGGCCACGAAGCAGTTCAAGGGGGGCCACGACACAAGGCTAATAATTTATTATAAAGCGACTAAGTTTGCATACTTTTCATTTGAAAGAAAAATTCCCGTTCACCTCAGTTTTATTATCTCAGTCACAAGGTGTATTTACTTTCTTGTGTGTGCGAATTGTTTGATCATAATGGAATTTTGAATATATTAATCAGAATAGTTTGTTAGTAGGCCATCTAACCTGTAGACGGGCAGTTTCACTAGAGTGCGAGGTCACCGTCGATATTATATTATTACTGCAGAAGACTTTATGTAAGTTCCCAATGCCCAAAATACGAAAATGGAACGAAAGTTACGTTGGCTTTGGTTTTGTTGATGACATCGCTGCCGATGTATGCTAACACGTTCGCTTTGAAATCAAGCGAGGAAGACTTTTTGAGTTTCTGTATATCCCTTTGCGATTCTTACCTACTACGTAGTAAGAAAGCTTCTTCATTGCTAGTTCAATTTGCCACAACCTATCTGTGCGAATCTATTTTTTCTGATCTTGTTACCAACAAAGCAAAATCTAGGAACCGTCCCGATGTTGACAGTGACCATTGCCTGGCTATATCAAAGACGGTGCCTAATATAATGAATCTAGTTAGACAGTCCCAAGCGCAAGATTCACATTGATTGTTTACTAAAAAGCTTTGACTTTTTTGCCCGTGGTTTGTAAAGTAAAGTAGAAGATTGAGAACCACTGTCATAGGGATTGGTGAACAGCAACCATCCTAAAATGCAACGAGTATTTTTGCTATATAGATCAATATTACGTTAGTTGTTTTATATTCCTTAGTTTGCTTGTTGTACAAGGAAGTTTTCAATATAGGAAAGCGATTAATAAAGATATAGTTACGTAAAAACAATTATGCAAAACACGAGGAAAGTGTGAATAATGCAAAAGCTAAAAAATACTTACGTCGGCCGACATTTGCACAATTGACAGTACACCAAGCTAGCAAACCCTAAAATGAGTAAAGCCCCAAAAAGGCGAACCATTGTATTCGTTTTGTATCTGTAATAAATTTCACGTATTTACTTATAAAGATTGTCAACTTCTTTAGAAAACTATTACAATATCATCTTCATCATGTTTTGATAAGAAGAAAGCGGACGTCTAATTTATAAATATAAAGTTTGGACAATCAGGATTGGGTAGTCAGTCGCTCGAAAGTTTTGAGGTCTATTTCAATATATAAAGCAAAACTAAATTGTGGCGTCAATATGAAAATATTATCAATTCTATATTCCATAACGTAGTGGAAGTTCTTGATCGATCGGAACAATGTTTAATTAGCAATTGAATTCTAATTTTGTACTATATTTTTGTATGGTTTCCATACCAGGTATCAACAAGATTCATAGTTTTACATGATTCCGGTAAAACAGGGATTTTAACTTAGTTATAGTAAAATAGCTTAGTTTACTGTGTCTGAAACTGTTGAGTTTCAAGCAGGGGTGAGCTGTAGCCGGAGCGCACCGGAACGGCGTTCCGGTTGTTGGACATTTTACTGCATTTGAGTTCCTTTCGTTGAAATAAAATTATGGTACATAAAGTCTAGTTTCTCTGGTAAATTCAGTTATTAATTTATGTTTTGTTACATCATATTAACCAAGTCTCTTTACGTCACATCACGCAAATAATAGTACATTTGTAACGTGTATTAGATGTTTCCCCGACCTTTAACCACATGAATATCCATTCTATAACTTTTTAATAATAGGATTTGTATTGAATTGCTATGGATACTCTTTTAATTTTACACAAACATATTTCATTTCTTCCCAGTTCAGTGCAGTTCTGTAAACGTCCGCGTCGTGTTGTGAATATATTACATTTTTGCGAATTAGGTTCGTTCCGGTTGTTACGATTTTTCCAGCTCATCACTGGTTTCAAGTATATCAGTGCGAAAGTTATATGACCTCGCAACACTGTCTAAATCTGTTTGAGATTACAAGTCTTCTGCAAACTATTGAGAATTTAATCATGTTATAATAAATAAGCTATCGTGGAGTACCAAATATATCGACATGATCGAATATATATGAATAATTGAATTTGCTAGTATATATTGCCACATCTTTTCGATTAATCTCCGAAACATAACAAGTGTTTTTGATACAACTATTCGCTAAAAATGAAACAGGTTTGCGCGTTGATGCCTTTTGTCCGAGCATGTCTTTATGGTAACTCATTATAACATATTTGCAATTTGTTGTTTCAAATTCTTGGCTTTCCAATTTCTTATGCCAGAAAAACGCTTACGCGTTCTCAACATGCAGAGGTAAGATGCGTGAGGGAAAAAAAATTTCAAGATTGAAAAGATTGCACGTAAGAACCACTCCTGTCCTGTTTGATGCAGTAAACAAATGTGACATGCCTTCAAGCGTTTATCGTTTCTTTCCTCGCCACTACACATATTATTGATAATAGGCCACGTCTCGTCAATCGATCTCATGTGTTGTATACAAAGCCTTTCTTTGCTGTACTTTCAATATATTGGGTTGTATGTTTGGTCTTTCTGTCATTAGCATACCCCTGCTGTAGTCTATGGACATTTTTCGTTCATTGGCTTCTTTCCAAATGTCTTCATATAAGTCAATCAATCATGGATGAACGATTTATGATAACCGGGGCCCCTGTTTCGGAAAACCGAGACCATATTTGCCGCTCTCAGAGAGACGGTGGTCTTTGATCCTTGAGGAATTAAACCAGACGTTTCAATGGTAAAACTACCCAGATGAGTTACATTTGACTATTTCTATAATTTCTCAAATTGTGACTGAAGTTAAAGTTTTATATTTTCATGAATTTTTCACAAAAGACATGCCATTTATTACCATTCTATTTAGTTTAAATATCAAGAGTTGTTTACAATGAAAACATAAGCCAAATGATTAGAACTATTTTTCTTAATAAATATGCGCCTGTACCGATTATAAAAATTAATATGTCGTCAATGACCGAGCATTTTGAAGCACTGTTTACATACTTTCACTCTGTTGTTTTTTTATTCAAAATAGGAACGAAATAATCAGCTGTTTCTTGAATTTATTTGCTGTTGTATCACAACCAAACAATTACAGATGGTTTGCTGTTCTCTGTGGTCAGATTTAATATACCTGCTGCCACCATGCGACTAAGTAGTAATCAGTCTTGAATTTTTAAATGTGACAATGTTACAATTGATTGACCGCAAATGGTGTCACAGATGGAAGCTCTTGGGCTCAACCTCAAAAAATTACGTTTCTTTCAAAATGGCAGCTACTTGCATATCAAGGGTTTCTTGTTTGAAGTAATGTTTTGAGTGGAGAGATGAAACGCCCAATAAAATGTAAAATGGAAAGATTTCGATTTTCCTGAAAATATTTTAATTTTTTTCAAATTTTAAATGTTTTCGTTATATAAATTAATTATAGCAATTCGTCAATCATGAATTCTATAGCCATATTCCAACAAAAAGATTCAACGCAAGTATTGTCAAAATCAATATATATTGTCTGAAGTATGAGAAAACATTAAATAGACAAGGTCTGTGTATTCATTAATACAGCTGTCTGGGACGCCCCACAAAACTTTTCAACAATTTATTACAGCAAATTTATTTTAAATAAAAACTTTTTAAAATGGAATCTGTATATATGCGTCCCCGTAAGCACATGTAATTTGACACCAAGGCGACACAGTCCTTTTGATGTATAATGTAAAAACCTACAGGATATATGGGGCTAATCCATTGTTGCTCTAAATTAATATTATGCAAACATCCACACTAATTGTACGAGTGGTATTATATAAATATAATTCCTCTTTCTGGATATGTCAATGAAGGCACTACTTTTCGAATCCCATTTGCATGATTTTTTACAGCAGCATCAAGCGTATTCTTATTCGGTAGAAAATTTCATGATCAATATAAACCTGGCGGATAAGGGATGCTCTTTATTTTGTGAGTCATGAATGAGAAGACTACTCATTGGTAAAACATAAGGTTTGTTGTAACATCAATACAAAGATGGTTGAGTTGGGTTTTGTTTGTCCTTTTGACATCAAACTTTTATGCGTTTAATTACTGCATATCCATTCAGAAAAATCATTGTTTAAAGCAATATTATATTAGAAGTTACATGTTCCTCATTACAAATTGTTACCTAAAAGTATATATTTCAAATAAGACTTTCCTTACGTGACTATGTAAGTGACTTCAATAGTGATTTTGTAAAGTAATTTTACTTTTAAATTACTGAAAAATCTCTTCATGTTTCTGAATTCTTTAAGCTTTCGTCATGCAAATGATACGCCGCAGACTTGAAAATCCTAATATTGGGCAGCATTATGAAAGCGGAAGAAATAAGCAATTCTAGTGGATCATATTGTAATTACGTAATGTCTCATTTCGGTGGCTTGAGACAGTTTACGAAGCGCTGCGGTACTTTATTACTTGCTAAATGTGATGCATTGCATTCGTTGAAAGAAAAATATATTATTGATAAGTTTATCTATTATTAGCGATATCTGTAAACAAACAGATAAGTATTCAATCTTCATGATTGCACAAAATGTTGTCCTAAAATTTACTTTCGTTCGATTATAATTATACGCTACGGCTTTGTAGCGTCCTACTCCGTTTTCACACAAAAAAAAAAAAATAGGAAGTTAACTCAGACTAACATACAAGCCTTGTTAATTAAAAAATAATAAAAAATGAAAGAGGGCAGGGCCCAATAAAAGTTCTGAATTCAATGGACGTATCGTTTCCTGTATACGTATATTCGAACTAGTGCAATGTGGGGCAAATATTTCCCATTCCTCAAATTGAATAACTTCCAATCTTATATGTTAATCTTCGGAAGGATGACAATGATTCAACTGTTTCGTTATGTTCACAAACAAGGCTCCACATGCGATCTCCTGATCTAATTATAGCTTTCAGCTGTGTAGGTGAGTGAATGAAGATTCTTGTTTACATTCGTTTTTACATTCCTTTTTGATAAAGTAATTAGTAACAATTACAGGCGCTGCAAATCGATCGTATAGAAATCTTAAAAGTATATCCACAGTAGAACAACCACTTCCTTGGACGCTCCAGAAGTATGTGTATCAATATGGAGGTAACTAATTTTGTTTGCTTACTTTACATCAACACAAACAGTCCCCGAACTCGTAATAAAATTATAATAAGAAAAACCGGGATAAAATTATGCCCTAACCCCAACCTGGTACACATGCTATGAGAGTACCCTTCCTTGTGTTACGACGATTTTTCTGATTCATCATCAGATGAATCGTTATTGTTTGATGCTTGGATGTGAAAAATTACAGTGATCTAAAATAAAATTTGTAAACCGAAAACAATGAGGGCTACCCGCTGGATGTTTATCTGAACCCAATTTGTGCATACAGTAAATTGGAAATATTGGTTCGTTCTTCCAAAACTCGACTCGGACTAGAAATCGGATAAAGGTCTTTGGCCACAATAATAAGCAAGCCACTGTATCGGGTGCCGAATGAATATAAATACCCCAAGTTAAGGCGATGTGATCACCAACCTAGAATGTAGTTTTATAGGTTGTTATTGTTCATCCAATTATGTGTGATTTTATTTTAGGTTTGATGCAGTATTGGAAATGGTGCTACCGGAATAATGAAAGTTTACATAGACGGCATACACATATGCGTAGCAAAATACAATGAAAATCTGAGAGGATAGTTCTCATGAGAGATCTAAAATTTTCTAAAACAAATATTTTCAAAAGAGAGAATTATTACGAATAGACATTGACCTGCAGATTTTTTATCTTAGATATATTTTTCGGTAAGCGTATTTTATGGGTTTATTCATTAGCAAAGCTATTCATCATAATTTGTATGAATCATTCCCACATAGATTAGAAGATTCTCTAACTGGCAGTCGTAAACAGTTTTTTTTTTCGATTGTACAGCTTCGATCGTGATCGATCGTTTCAAATGATTCACATCATTATTTCAACGAAAAGGAATTTAAAACTTAGATTCTATCGAGTGTTACACAGCTTCGGATAAAAAAAAACTTTCGAATTATGTCCACTGAATTTTTAAAAATATATATCAACATTTTAGAATATGAAGGTGGTATTTATCGACATAAGTAGTCCCTAATATGTTATTCGGTCTTTTTCTTCACAGTCTCAGACCGAACAAAGCTTTGTTTTGGGTTCAGTACTTTTCATCCAAGTTTTATCCTCCGGATAAAGGTGCATGTTTCTTCTCTAAATATTTTACTTGCAACACCAGGAAAAGTTGGCTAAACATTCGAGCGGACATCGCACACGAAAGGCGTTATTTGTAGCACATTCGTTGCGTTTGCGATGCATTGTTTTGTCTGTGTCACTTGCGCTCGAACATACAAACTTGCTAAACTCAACCGCCGCTATAGCGTTTTCAATGAGGTCGTCTTGTTTTGCCATAGTTAAGAGGATGAGTTAGTGATTGGAAGGAAGTTTTTAAGCAACTCACATAGCGGCATAACAAATGGACAAACTAGTGTCGGGCTTCGTAAAAACAACTCACATGAAATGAAAGAAATCCTTGCTTACAAGTCAGCATTGTTGCGAATTCCAGGAAACAATTCAGGGGTAGTGTCTACTACAAACGTCGTTATGATAATAAAAAAAAATGTTGTAAAAAAAAATGATGCAAGTGATGGAAAATTTTATCAGAGAGACACTGAGGAAACAGTGACAAAATAAAAAGATTTTGATTTTCATCACACTTGATGTTTTAATTATAAAGAATAAATAGCACTTGTTTGTAAGGCAACTGATGAAGTTTGTGAGGAGTAAGTACATCAGAAACTGGTTTTGCTGAATCTTTTAAACCACAAAAATGTTTGCTATGCGCAAAAATATGCCATAATTACTTTTGAAAAGACATTTCTGGCTCAACAATTTCGAGTGAATTAAAATAGCACTCACTTGTAAGTTTGTGTATGACTTAAAATCTTATTTTAGCACATATTTGAACATACATGTGAAGTGGTTTGAGCAATTTAAAATATGATAAGCAAATTTCAATTTTCCTTTTAACCAATGACACCTCCATAAATAAATGTACGTTGTCAATACGTTCTGAGAAGCAAACATCTGCAGATAAGAGCTACTTTTCATGGTGTCTAAAAAAGAGTACACAAAAGATAAAAGTAAATAGAATTTATTGGGTAGTTCAAACGACAGACAGTATTAAAATTTTCGAATTTCAAATTCATGTTGCTTTGACTGGCAATTTCATTTTCGAAACTAAGCCATTTCAATGTCGTGAAATCGATCATGCCCTCTAGAACTCATTGAGTCAAAGAATATAATAAATGAAACGAGCACCACTTGTTATACGTGGACAAATTTATTTCTTGAAAGGTCATTGAGCGTTTTAAGAGTCTCACCTAATTCCGCCACACTTCAAGTGTTAGGTACACGATCATTTCAATACGTTGTATTCGTGTTATGAAATGCTGCTAGGTAACTCTAAAATCTCGACCTTGGTGAATAAATAGAGAGTTAAAATTTGAGCGGACCGTTATAAATATGATGTCACTTTATCGACAAGTACCCTTAGCATATGATAACTTGGTAATGTTTATTCATAATAAGAAGTAGGTAACACAGCGAGGATTCAAACGCTTCTGAAAGCAAAATCAGAATCTTTAATATTTCATCTCGGTGTGAAAAAATGTATGAAAAAGTGGTTCAGTACAACTAATGGAGGTGATGAATCATATCGCGGCAAATACACAAAAATTATTTATCCAGAACTCGTCATTTGTTTAGGATGACATTTCATCAGACTCCGATGAGCTATCGATTATATGCCATTCCGCATCAGCAAAGTAGGCTCTGATCGTCGGCCGACAAACTGGGCTATCAACTTTCATTTGCAAAACCCATACATGAAAGGCTATACGCATAAGTATTGGACGCCAGTTTCCTGTCTGTGACGTAAGAGATCGTGCCATTGTGCCGTGCTAGATGTATTCATATAGCATAATTATTGAAAACTCTGAAAGGGCAGAGCATATGCTAATCAGTCGCATATTGGACACTTTTCAAATAGTCGTTTATTTTGACAGGTCTGAGACAGAATTGAAACGTTTATAATGCAAATTTATTGTAGAATATAACGTTACTGGTATAAAACTTTTTCAAAAGAAAGAATCAGTTACCACGCATGCGCCAGTGATGTTATTTACATCTAATATCAGCCGCCTGCAGTGGCAGATGTTTTACGTAAGAGTGCGATATCGTTGTCAGGCCTAGCTCTGAGGTTTTAATTTGCTGGCACTTAGAGATAGGATTTCTATAATGCAGCTTGATACGTTGAGAATGTGCCGACATGACTAAATTACCTTGAAGAGGGATTAATGGAATACGTGAGACTTGGTCACGGTTATCATATAACCATAATTCCTTTCTACAAAATTTACAGCGGAAATTTTCAGAATTGATTTGCTAATTAATAACAAGTTTAATAAATTTGCATTTTGGCGATATTGAACGATTCTTCACTAAAAAAGTGTCGTACTACTCTGGCCAGCCTGTGCGTAATGCAAAACGATTGATACTCGCCTCAATCCGCTAAATGGCCTCGAGTGTCAGAAGAAGGCTTCGTGCGTGCATTGAGACACAACAATTGCAGAAAGCAGTTTTCGCTATACATATGCGTTGCCGCTGGTATTTTCCGTGAGCAGTTAGTCACTGTTCTACAAATGCTCCCAATCGACATAACTAGCAAATCATGTTAGAAATTGTGCCGCTTACTAACAGTGTGTTTGATTCGAGAGTCTTGCTCCGCACCACGACAAATGTATTTGTGTAACGTTTCGTCTGAACGAGGTCAGACTTCTTCATTGTTGAAATATGCTTGTCTGAAGAAGTCCGACTTCGGTCAGACAAAACGTTACAGGAATACATTTTTGTCAGTGTGCAGTAAGTTGCTTAGAATATATTTATTCTTGCTACAGCATTGTTGCTGCATTATACGCAATACAGATCCACATGCACAAAGGTATAGAAAAAGGAAGAAAATTTGTTAGTATCACGTAACCCCGTCTGATAGTTTCTTTATGCATACGCACAATGGCTGCTGAGGAAATGCGACATACGGTCATTGGAAATGGTCAGGTAGCAGTAAGGGTATAAAAGGAAATAGCAATGAAAGCAAAATGCTTTAGGCGTTACAGTAGCCGGCTCTTGTAATGCAAGTAACTGTATAAGCAATAACAATTTGTAAATGTACGCACTCTCGTGGACTAATCATCTTTTAAATGAATATTTGTCATGAATTTTGTATGTATTTAGTCGAAATTTGTCATGAAAATTTCATTATTTTGCATCGCTTTGTCTTCATATTATAAATATGCATTAGACGAGGTCGAGAGCAAAACACTTTGGAACAAACGTATTGAAATTAGTTTTAAGATTGCTGTTAAGGAGTAGAAGAAAATCATAAGTGTTCTCAAGAATAGGTAGCACTTAGCTTTTAGTCAGGGAGTCGCTCATATTTGTTATAGAATCGCATTGCAAATAAGGCCATGACGATAATGTAGATACGAGTGAATTGCGAATTTGAACTATGTCAGAATAATTCGGTCAGAATTTCATTTGCGCCAAACTATACCTTGAAAATGCTCTGAAATTGTGTTACATTTTATCTAGCAAATGTTATATCCATTCAGCGAATCGTATTTTGTGGTAGTAACTCACGGAGGTAAAGAATTGCAAAGTTCTTTTCAAACAATGAAGTAAATAACGCTGTAATAAAGCAATAAATCGATGTCATTACTTGATGCGTCATCAGATGTCATGTCGATATTTGAACTTCTCAAATAAATTCATGATATTAAACTTTTGTTGTTAACCAAACATTACGGCGGTACTACTACGACACTTTGTGAGGCAATGTTCCTGGAATCTGCATTTGTTTTGAAAAAGTTGTCACAACTAAAACATTTCGGCGAGTGCGGAAGGTATATTGTAATAACATTTATGTAGAACTTATATAAAACTATAAACATATTGACAACGGTTCATTGACAGAGAAAAGTAGCCTTGATGTCCGTCATTGAGCTTATGCAATACCCTACCAACACTTGATGAAAATTTGTGTCCTATTTAACTAATAATTCCTGGAAGTATATCATATATGTTCTGAATAGTTTAGCTTTTGTTTATTTAAAAAAATCTCATACAGCCAAGCAAGCTTTCATTTAACTGGTAGCCGACAATTTAACAAAACCATCTACATATAGTTCATGATTAGTATGTGCATGGGCATTTATACACACAGTGCGCTATTGGAATATAATGTAGTTTGAGAATTTTGTTATAAGTATGTTTCCAATCGTAAAACAAACAGTATATATATCGAGATCGAAGCCAATGTACGTCATTTTATCATTTGACAAGACAGCGTCGATAAGCTGGTCGCTAATACAAAATACAATGCGAAGTCAGGTCGCGTTTAAATGCCGTTTTAAAAATCATTCAGTTACTGTTAAGAAATAAGTAGCATGTGAACAAATTTGAGTAATAAAAGAATTAAAAAACATTCTGACAAAAGGGATTTTACCTCATATTATGATTACTCGTTATCTTCACCTGTCAGGTTCCACGGCTTTGGATAAACATTTACAATATTGAACATTCTACGGAACTGTGCGTGAGGTCTAGATTAGTAAATGAGTAATTTGATCTTAACAATTACTCGGACTTGGAAACTTGGTACTAAATTTAATCTAACATAGAGACAATGTGATTTGTGACACTGACCGACTCAGAGGCCTATTACTGTAAGGTATTGCGAGAAGAGATACGTTTTCAAGTGTGCAAAAGTGGAGAATTTTTGGGTTTATAAGTTATAAAAAAAAATAGAAAAAGATAGGTAGTCTGCGGAAGACAACCAGATTAAACTATTGAAGATTTTTATGTTTTGTTTTTCTGGAGTAATGTAGAAAATAGGCTTGAATGAGTTACAAGGCATCACAAACCTCAATTTTATCATCCCAGTTGCCGCGGAACCATTCCTATAGTATGCTACCCATCTTTTCATTTTAAAGGCGTTATTCCCCCTACATTGTATATAGGGAAATCACTGCACCCATTTAACAACTCTAGTTTATTATCATCACTCATAATTATCCACTTTCTTGGATCTACTTTCAGTTGTAATTATGTAATTTATTAGTAATGGGCATTGGCAACATAAAATTGAGATGCGTTTTCGGAAGATTCGAAAAATTGGCCGCTGGAAAAATTGGCGTCTGATATCTGTAGTAATATCTTGTTTCACTTTCGGCCTGTTCGTGGGGTGGGTGGGCAACACCGATCAAATAAAAGAAGAGATTGAACTTCGAGTTGATCATGCACCGCCTGACGCAAGGTAAGTTGTGCGAAAATTATTACAAGCAAACAATTTAGTCTTTGGCAAGACATTCTATAATTTGCAGTCTGCGCATATTCCCGTGTTTGAACTCTCTCAGTTTCATAACCTAAAACTGTTTCATTTACGTTGTATTTGAATGTTTTATGGCTAAAACAGGATCATCGAAAGATTGTTTTTGATTGTATGTGTCAAACAAAAATGCTTGTTGGAGCCAATATTGACCATTTTACGCTGTGATTTGCAGTTTATTCAAAAACTTCGTTTAGAAATTGACAAATACCAAATTATTACTGCAAATATACGTTGTTTGACCTAGGTAAATGTAATTTCAAATGCCACTAATTTACGTTTTTTGAAAGAACACCAGATAATCATCTCATCGGCTGTGTACATTCTATAAAAACTCGGACTTTAAGAATCAACAAACGTTATCATGTTCTGAATAGGAATACGATTCATTTCATGTAGTCGAAAATGGGACGCCACTGAGGTTTTTATTTCTGGATCGACTGCGCGTAGATTTGTATTTGTAGCATTGAATGTTCACCTACCCATATATTAGGATGCACTCCCGAGTCCCGATATACTAAAAAAAAGATTAGCGTTCAAATTTCATTTCTAATTACTCGAAGGGAAGTGAATAACTTGACTATGACATGATGTACAACACGTTCTTTGATGTTAATTTTAAGACCCCCAAAATCAATAAACATTGAATCAAGTCATACATCAAACCACTACATTATATATTGATAGAAGATCTTTTCGTGTATAGTCATCATATAATGCAACGGATCAATATTATTTTATAACATACCATAATAATCAATAATTTTACTTTGATGTTCGCTATATATCAAATTTATTTATTAACCCTCATTAAAATTTAATTCGTGTTCCTCAATTGACTATAAAAATTATATTGACAAGCGTAGCATCGCTTAACGTATCCTTTATGATCACTCTCATAAGCGGAAAATATGATTTGACGTAGCAAGCTAAACGCTATAGTTCAGTAAATCCCCAGGGGACACAGGCGACGGAGAACGGTACATCGACGGTATCGTATCATTAAACAAATATAGAGGAGAAGATCCAGTTATACGGAAAACATTATCGGTTTAAGATTTACAAATTTGTAAAGGGCGGTTTGAATTATCAACTATGAGTATCACGCTCTAGATATAAATCCTGAGTGGCCGCACCTCGAGGGTCACAAATCTTTACTCTAATTTTTCATATTTAATTTGTTCTGACTAATAAATTCAGCCATGTTGGAACCAAATTGAAGCATCACTTGCCAAGTGATCTACGATCTGCGTTCGCATTTTATGATGACAGATGACATTGGGCGACTCTAGGGGGGTTGCTTTCAATAACGCGGTGACAAATATATCATTCACACTTTATTCAAATAGAAACCGACAAACTTTGGAGTTGGATGCTCTGTCACACTTTACTGTATACAACGTTTAAGAAACGTAAACAATTCTTATCACCTAGTACAGTACACCAATCAGTGGGTATCGAAGCTATTTAAGATGGGTCGCGAAGTATTTTCAAATGATACATATAGTTTTCGATTAGATCGGGAAATTAGACATTATCATTACGTAACAATTATGAAACAATGTAACAATTAAAATTATGCGTCGTTAGCAGACTTGATCTGATATTATCCAATATACAAGATCAAGTTTCGCATTAATAGTAAATTGTATGGGGATACATTGTTTCTTTTCTTATATATTAACATCTCAATTTCATTGGGGGTTGCACAAACAAAATGGCAATAAAAGTGGGTCGCGAACTGAAAAGGTTCTGTGGTTTCATTTTGTTTCATTTGAAGAATTAGGCACATTGGTTAAAGCGATGGAATTAGATTAAAAATGTCATCCCCTCCTTTCCAAGTGTGTAAGAATTTGGGTGAAGAATACAAAACTAGAAGAATTCCGCTTTTCCCAAAGCATAATTGCTCCCGACATAACAGTGGGTACCTGTACTGTGGATTACTTGTTTGGAATGAAAGGTATGATGACGTCATATTAAAAGCAAGATGTGATGATACTAGCACCCCTACGTGTAGAAAAGTTATACTCTGTAATAAAGTACTGAACAAAAATTTGAATTTTAAGAGAAGTAATCGATACAAAATTAATGTATCTTCATAATTTGTTAACTCAATTAATTTTACAGGGGGAAAATATTAGTTTAACATGTATTATGTTGTGAACATGAACACGGAAAATTATAATGCGTAAAAACCCATTATCATAAATATACTTTCCGGACACATGCTTCAATTTTCTATATACCACGACTTCTGAAATAACCTAAATGTGAAACAATTTACACACGTTACACCACAATCGGTTTTATATATAAAACAGGTATTTCCCGACCTGCGTAAGCTTTTGGCTTAGACATCGTAATTGGCATCAATTTGCACACGTTACATGCAGTTTTAGTTAATATAAAAGCAATTCGTGGAGGATTGAAATTATCCATATCGATTTCTGACCTGTGAGGCACTACTCTGGTTAGCTATTGACGTCACAGATGTAAATAAATGTTTCAAACGTGATCAGCAGATAAAAACGTGTTTTATTTATGGCCACATGTTGCCATGTTTTCCTTTGATATTCAATTTGTCGATTATATATTCTTGGCAGTAAAGCGCATCTGCTAAATTTAAGTAGGAAAACAATTCAGGGTTTCTTTCTTAATAAATATGTTAATTGAAATAATAAATTCAAGACGGTGTAATTCGGTCGGTTATCCCACATTTCCATGAATGAGTGTCGCCTAGTTTATATTATTCATTCCAGTCAGACTGAAAAAAGTGGAAAAAATCTATAATTCAATTGAAAAGATTTCTTCTAGAAAAGTATACTTTATATTTATACCGATAGCATATCCAAAACGTACTTCAGGGACAACGTGCCACTCTAACTGAAACCATTTTTTTATAAACAAAATCAATTATTCAAATTGTTGATTTGATAAATGACCCCATCAGATCTTGACCGGATACATCAGCTATAATTTTACTTTTGTGGTCTGCTAGAAACATAAGCAGTTACAGACAAAACATTCAGAGCCAAAATCATGCCAAAACATAAAAAAAAAACTCAAATAAATAAAAGCTGAAAATCTTTAATGAAGTTTGACTATCAGCCCCTAAATCACACAAATTATAAATATTAGACCGAATTTACATCTAAGTTTAATTCTGCCGTACTTATTATGGTGTTCAATGTCGTATGACCGGGAAAATCTATCGTTGGCATCATATGATGATAGATTATTGTATATTAAGTCTCATTCATTATTTTGCGATGGTAAATCTTTGATGCAGATGTGTATTATTCAGTTGATTTCTCCATTGCTTAGTTTTCGCATAAATATATTTGGTATTGGTATTGGAATTTTGATGTTGAATTATGAATAGCAACGAACCACGCTGTTTGACGTGATCCTCAACACTGATATATATTCAATAATGTATTAAGCATTGACCTGTGGCACCCCATTGACAACAGGAAGACGTTATGTGCCCATTGTATCGTTCTTATGCCAGAAAGAATAAAGATAATCCGACCACAAAATATTTTATGGCATTGCAACGCAGACAATCAATTCAACCAATCTGTTACAAAACAAAGTGCAAATATGCAAAATATTTTTAAGATTTTCTGATTTGAAATGAAAATATTTTTGTTTTTTGTGGTTAAATATTTTGTCGCGAGATTTGTATATTTTAGCTTTGAAATAATTTGTGTTTGGTTCGCTGTATTATTGTATATTTGATTGATCTTGTCTGAGTAATCGTTTGAGTCCGTTTAAATTTATCACAGCTTCTACCTATTTACCAAACATTCATACCACTCAGCATCCGGTACGAAAAATGAACACAAAACTTGAATGGCAACAAAATATTAATAAATCATTGTCTACGTTTTAAACAAATTTTCAAGTGAATCGATTTTTAAAATAAATTAAATTGAATCCCACAAATAAAAACAGTTTAAATTTTGATTCAAACGACGTCCCAAAGGATTTTAGACAGCAAATAATTTTCAAGATGGTTCGAATCTGCGTCGTATGCATTTCATTTCAACGTTTGCCCTTGGCAATCTCGGGCTTTTGTTCAAACTTGAACAGTTTCTAATTTATGTGTAATTTTGTCCCCGGTATGAATAACTTTTATAAATGTTCGTGTCATTCGTTTCAACTTTTGTAAAAATTATCAGAAATATCATTGATGTATTGAAATTGATCAGACATCAAATATTTAAAGAAGTCAAAGAATGAATATTTCCCACTCATAAAATACAAAATGTGATATATGTTACTTTGACCGGAAAGAAGCGACATTGACGTTCTATTCGACTGGGAACAGAACGTTTACGCCATGTAAATTCAAATTCACAATAGTTGGATTCTTTTCAGTAAGATCATTAATATAGTCACAAGACTGCAGTGAATTGATATATTAAATTTTATTTATTTTAAAATTCATTTTGAAAAGTAGCAAATAAATTGTAAGAAATTATACCACTATTCACTACAGACATACATATAACCAGGCTTGTCAATGGGAAACGTACCATGGCATTGGATAGCACAGGCATAAATTGGGATGGGATGGAACAGAAAAATATGCCTCATGACCAAGCCTGCATATACCCGACGAATTATTATTTGTTCATTGTATAAAACGTCGTTCACATGATGTTGAAATGTACTTTACCATGTATCTTTCCTTCCCTAAAAGTTATTTCAGGATCATTACTGCCACTAACCTTGAACTGGAAATTTATTCCGTGCTCATTATCTCTATAGTTGGCGTATCAACGTTAGGCTATTTCATATTGCAATCCATCAAATAAACAAAAAAAAATTATGTGTTTAGAGAGGATTGGATGGATAATAGAGAAGGAATAGAAATTCTCGGTCGCAAAAAATTATCAGTAAAAGACGAAAAAGTCATTCAACCATTTTCGAGAATTCCACCGAATTACGAGAAGATTGTTCTTCCTCCTCGAGCTCCAACGAACAAATTTGATATTGAGCCATACAGAATAATGAAAAGAAATAAAGTTTCAGGTAAAAGTTACGCAATTGTTTTGTGTGTTTTTGGGCTGGCGTGAATACGATAGACTGTACGAAGCAGTAGTTCCCAATATTTGTCTATATAATATTTCATTCGCCTACTTTGGATTTCTAGGGTAACAGACAGCTCGCACTCTTTTTGCTTTTGTACATTTCAAATGTATTGCGATGATACTAAATAACTAAACAATACTAGTAAACTTCATCAAAAAGATTGTAATATTTGTGTATTTCTTCCTCGGAAACATCAAAATTGTTTAATAAAGGGAAGGACTTTCTACGCGACTAGGAAACGCTGGAATAGAATAGGAACGAAGTTCGAAATTCAAATTTTTCTACCTTATCAACTGTAGAAATAATGCAATTTATATAGGTTGTTATATGTAATTGAATGTGAGTATTTATACCACTGAGCCTATACTAAATGAAACGAGACAAATATAACATGATCAAAACGTAGCGCACGTTCAATTACACAGAGTTGACGTTCAAAGAACAACAAAAATGGGATTACACATTTATTTTATGGCAAATTTATTTTTGACCTCGCAATTACCGTTCCATTATGGCAACCTATTTTTGGCAATTTACATTTCACTTCTATTAGATTATATGAATTTATAATACAATTTTGAGCTACTAACCATCCTCGTCACTTCCGAAAACAAAGAATAAACAAATTCTGATCATTGATAATTGAATAATTTATGACAGTCAGCACGATCATCGTTTATCTTAATCATAGTATCCCGCTTGGACATTTGTCTGCATTGATATTTATGAAACTAAAAGCACAGAAACACATTTGTATATATATTTTAAATTTTGTTGTGTGTCTGATCCAACCGTGATTAATCTAAATCGATCACGATTTACAGGTATAGCATTTCCATGTCTGGCATTTTGTTGTTCCGTGTGGCATTTTTGCAAATGACAATTAAAGAATCGAAGGTTGAACAAATGGTTTGAATTATTCAATAGAATGCAGTTAAAATTGTTCGATTTCTCGACTTAACATCATACATTAAAGACAAATGGTATTTTGCAAAACATAATTACATGAAGCTCTCCTATTTTACTTCGAAGATGACATTTTCTCAAAGGATAATCTCTAACCAACGTACTTTACAAATGGCGAGTAATTTTTAAAATGTTGAAATGGCAGCTTTACATTTGGGATTTGTGCGCTAATATCATTAGGTTCATTCAAGTGAAACAAAAAATGCTGCAACCATCGTAAAACCACAATTATAAAAAATTAATATATTGGAATTGTTTAAATTTACTTCGCCAAGTTTGAGTTAAATATTGAGTGCATAATGCATCCACTGTCAATACTTGGTTCACAAAATTTGTCTCAGGCCCAAACGCTGACGTTGCATGAGTATCCCGTTTTTTTCAACCGCGTGTCAAAACGTTCTAGTAAGTGGTTAAAAAATGGTTGGAGTTGGAAAACCGTCTATTTTCCATGAATATTGATAAAGTAATGTCTGGATGCTAATAATTTTTTAGGGTTTGGAACTGTTACCCATCGTATGGTTCAATTGTATGATTAGCAGATTTCGATAAACGAGGTGATAACAAAAAAAATTCATTAGTAGATATCATAAAATTTTGGGGCTGAAGGATTCTTTGAGAATGAATATGATAGTGGTATATCATAATGAAGATTGTTTTCAGATAACAAACCGTAAACCTCAAAAAAGTATTGTGCAACAAACAAAACAACATGATTTGGAATAGTAGAATTTAAATAAAATATATGCTTAGTGTTATAGCCACTTCACAAGAAATAGCATTATGATGTGCAACCCAAAAGTTTCTAAACAAAATATTATAATTCCAAATGCATTTCCTATGATCAGTAAAAAACGATTTTAGGGCTACTAGAAGAAATATAATTAAGAAAATGGTTTTGAAGCATTTTCGAATTGTTCATTGTTCAGGAAGGTTTAAATACTTTAAAGTTGTCACGACGACAGGTAATTTAATTGTTCTGCTATTAATAGCAGCGGCCAGGCATGAAATGTGTATTCATTTTTGAGATCCTCTCTGATCAAACTAAAAAAATGTTTAATATAAGAGACGCCAAGAGCATATGACTTTGTTGCTAATAAAATATTGACCGTTCACAATTTACAAAGTCAATCAAAATATGAAACGACCGTCTACTTGACAATATAAAAGTAACGAATTTCAGGGTTTAATATTTATTCATTCAAACCAGGGAGTGGTAGAATCAACAGATTTGTGATCGAATAAAATTTAAGATCTTGATCTTTATGTTGAAACATAGTGCGATGTCCGTGTTTTTATACTAAAACAATATTTAGGATTTTTATATTCCGACTGTAAAAATGTCAGTTGATTTCTTTTATTGCTTCGTGAAATATTTATGAAGTAGTATAAAAATCATAAAATATATTTTTTCAAGTTATTATTTCGTCCGGTCATATCAGATTTTATAAACCGCAAGCAATAGAAGAATATTATTTCAAAAATTGTAATAACTGTGTCTCTTGGCAACTCGATAGAAGAAAAAGGATAATGGCGGTTTAACGCGTGTCAATCAGTCATAAATATTTAAATAAGTTTTCACATTCGATAGATACAAGAGCAAAATATTTTCCCATCATGTACTCGTAATGTCATCATATTTTATTAAACACATTCTTTTAAAATCATTGACATTTAATTGGAACAGAAAAAATATAGTAATAACACACTATTCTCATTATCTACCATTTGAATTCATGTATCAACTATCGGGTAGGCTGTATGATATTTATGACAATAGTTTTTTACGAGTGTGTGTACTCGCCTTAATGTGTGGTCAATGCCACAAGAAATCGTTATTTACCATGAAACGCGATTCAGAGAATATCGACGATGTATTGAATTAAATGATGCTTACCAAGCGAAGACATAGTTTTGTCCATATAAAACATCGTAAAATGTCCTTTGGGGGCTACAAAAGCTGATTCCGGAATTCTAATTTAGGACGGTTAAAAGTTCATTGCCAAGAGAAATAAAGAATAATATTTGATAATATCCTTTGGTTAACCGTATTTCATTGATTTCTTCATAATTCTACAAGTATACGTGTATATAAAGTTTGGAGTTGGACCGATATATTTTAAAATTTTTTAGTTTCATTGTTTTTACGCACTTTAAAGCTTAAAGGACCCCATTCTAATCCTAACGACATTCTGTTAAAGAACAAATTCAAACTGAAGTTAACGACAATAAAAAAGGTGTTGCAAATTAAAATGTTTACAAATTAAAATTATATTTACTTTTTTTTTTTGTGAAATATTACTCAACTTTGCCGCGAAAAACAAGTCTCGCGAAAGCAGGATATGATAGAAAGTATAACTACAGTATTTTTTTTATAATTTTAAATTTATATTTCCACAAATATTGTTTGTTTACACTTCGAGGTGCTCAAAAGGGTATTCCTGATTAATAAAGTAGCTCACGTTGTAAAACAAAATAATTGATTTCGAGTTTCTGCATATTCATATATAGTATATTCTTGGCCATGCTTCGGATTGAAAATCACCACTAAAACGATTTATGAAAGGGGCCGATTTTCACTCGTACTAAATGAATAATAATAGCTTGATGTATAAATAGGTGTTGCCTACAAATGGAGGTTACCCAAAGCCACAAACAAATTCCTGTTTGAAGGGAAAGCAAAGGCAATCGGGCATGGTCGCCATATCTCATAATAATACTAATCAGATATCAGAGCATTTGATTAACTCTGACAAATCTTGGACCGCCAACTTTATACTCTGTTGGTAATATTGAACAAAGTAAATAGAGTTTGGTATAAATTACAACACGGAATGTGTTAAACATTCTCATAAGATATTGGAAAATTTCAACTGATTGAGTAAATATTCATTTTAATAAAAAAGAGCTACAAGTAGTTTATCGGCTTATATTGATTGAAGTTTGCATTCAATAAATTCACCATTTTCGATATTGCATGGAGGTATTGCAATATCACGATTGCTACAATTGTACTCAGTTAAATGACAAGCAAGAGTAGGTAACAACAGTCAACACCGATATTTTCCAGATTTCCAAATACTTCAATTTTCAATTAAATAAAGTACTGATAATGTGCCAATTATTCGGTGTAGAAATAACTATACTCTGTAGAACTGTAACTTTGAAATGTTATCAGCTTGGTAGATAATGGGAACATTATGTGTAGCACATTTTCAGCATAATGGAGAAGTCTTGGCAAAAAATTTTTTTTATCGAATATATATATATACTTCTCGCCCGAAACCACCTGATTCTTAATTTTTAGGATCATAATGATCCTATCCTATTGTTTTATCGCTGGCACGCCTCAAAATTTATCCAAATAAAAATAGACTCCTTGTTTATACTTCGTGGCAAAATAAGATTGGTCACATATTGTTTGCAATCAAACTGAGTGAAACAAAACAAAATTTGAGAGTCGTAAACCTACTAAACATAATCTACGACGTAATCAAATATTGACGACTCATTTGAAAACGCCATTTTCGTCCTTTTACAAAACAACATGAAACCGATCCAATATCATCGTTAATATTCGAAAGCCAGTATTTGTTCTTGATTTGGTATTATAAACTAGAAAATTGTTTTATGAGTACATTGGAGGTTAACCAAAATTTACCTTGGGTAATAACTACGTAGAAATGAAATGGTTTAGTTTTTATAATGTAATTTGAGTCCATGTCATTTTCGTTCATCATTATATTTTATCACGCCCACAATGTTCAGATACAACATACCTACAGATATTTATTTTTATCGCATAATATTCTTGATTTGGTATTATAAACTAGAAAATTGTTTTATGAGTACATTGGAGGTTAACCAAAATTTACCTTGGGTAATAACTACGTAGAAATGAAATGGTTTAGTTTTTATAATGTCATTTGAGTTCATGTCATTTTCGTTCATCATTATATTTTATCACGCCCTACAATGTTCAGATACAACATACTTACAGATATTTATTTTCATCGCATAATATCAAACGAGGTGAAAACGTAAAAAACACGTGTAAGTAAATATTGACGATCTGTTGAAACTCATTATTTCCGTTGATTTTCCGAACGACAAAAATGGCGTCGCTTTTTGTGTGGCACTTAACTATATCTAAGTGAACAAACAGTATTTGATTTAGAAATCTGAAGCAAGCATGCTCTCTTATGCTATATACGCTATCTTATGATTTTATATCAAATCCAAGAACATACTGTGCGAATAAAATTGGAATGACTTAAATTGTGCTCACGAATATTTCCATTTTGTATAAAAATCAAAAGCCAACGTTTCTGAGCAATAAAATCTTCAAATAAACTATGAACCGGACACGGCTAGTTTTATTTGCTCGTAAAACATAGTTTGACTGACAGAACACAGACTATTGTTTGACCCTCTTTTGTGGTTCGTTTGAGTTTGGTCTGGACTCAGGACTAACGCGTAAAACATCAAATTGATTGAAAATGATCAAATTTAAACTGACAATATCTATATTTACCAGATTTAACGAAAGAGCATGCCACATATAGTATAAACGCATGGTAGAATTTTTAAACGCGACAAAATACTTCAATTACACATTATTTTCTAGGAAAGGAAGGGGCTCATCATTTTATGTTATTTATTGTGAAAAGTGCTCCGATTCATACAACTCGTCGTGAAGTCATTAGAAAAACCTGGGGAGCAGTTAAAGAAGTTGATGGTTTACTTTTCAATACTATCTTTGTTGTCGGTCAAGTGGATCCAAATTCACCTTTGCAGCATATTTTAGAGAAGGAAAACAAAATCAATGGAGACATGTTGCAAACGGGAACACCAGAAGGATACATGTATGTGATTGTTAGTTGGCAAATCTTACTGCCGTTTTAGGTAACCTATGAATATCTGATAGTCAATCGATTGCGTTACCCTTTTATAGTTCAGAAATACGAACTATCTGGATACATACCGATTTATTCGCGTACATCCGTGGAACATCATCCAAATGTATGTCTCTTACATATTTATCAAAATCAATGTGCTCATTTCTCCAGAATATGCCAGTTTTCAATTTTCCGCGAAGGCTATTCGTCATAGGAATGTACAACCTATAACTGGATAATGTCGCTTTTATGAACGAGCGTTTGGACTAAAAATAGCTTGTCATCATCATAATTTGTTTATATTTTATCAACTACAAATCTGTTTATGATCATATTAGAGCTGTATTTCAGGACGAGCATTACAGTTAGCACAAAATAGTCATTAGTTTCATGAATTGAATGGTATGATTTGACCAGGGTCAAAATAGCATCTCGGACAAATGCTAATCAAATAATTAGTGGGCATCACCATATCAATTATCATTTTCTCCACAAAAGAATTAATAGAGTAACATTTTGATAAACTTCAGTCACAAAGGATAAGATTGTTATTTCTGTCCTGTACGTTTGTATTGTTGCAATCCAACGCTTGTTTACTTAGCCTGACAATCATGGTGTTGATATTATCACAGCAAGGAATTGCCTTTCATTGACCATAAACCCTCAACAAAACTGTTTAGCAGCACTCAAGTAAAACAACGAAGTCCCACATGGAAGCCCACTATTACATATGCGTCCTACTAATTTATATAAACCCATAGTCAACGTCTTTAAAACCACGTACGAATATTAGTGGTAAATATATGTTTAAAATAGAGTTCAATATTGGTGTCCTATACCTGATTTCGTCACCGACTAGCAATGCTTGAAAATAATAATCTATCCCGATTTACTTTATTATATATGGTCAGAAATTTAGAATACCTCACTACGGATAAAATCATTCAAATGACATTTGGGACTATATATCCATCAATATTCTTAATTGAGACCTTGAACTGACCTGCCATTGTCTAAACTGAACATAAACATCTCTTATTTCGAATAGATTAAGGATACCAATTTCAACGCCACATTAGTTTGTATTAGGATGTACAATTAAGAATACAATTAAGCCAAATTTCGTGATAGAACACTCATATTCATACATGATGTATTGTCTTTTCAGAAACCTTCCAAGTAAAGTGTTATCGGCTATGCAGTGGTTGATTTCAAAGTCTTCTCAAATATCGAGCGATTTCTATACATTTACTGACGATGATTGCGTAATGAACATCGCAAATATAGTTGACTTTTTTGGAAATCTTCCATTTGAAGATGATGAAAACGATTCATCTAAACGATTTGATCGGTCTAAATCAAGTCAATCAATAAAGGAAATTCAAACTATAGAATTATATAAGAAAAAGAAAGTGAATGAGGTAACGCTACCACCTTTGGAAGCAAAAAAATTAACAAAAAGCATCATAAATGAAGTAAAGTACGAGGATTCAAAAAGACAATTATATGATTCGTTTGAGGGAGAACAGAGAAGTAAAGAAGGAGACGAAGACGACGTAGCTGAGAATCTCGAAATATATGCAGCTATGGATCCAAATGCAAAAATTCAAATCGAAAGAATAGAGAAGGATGATGCCAATTTTGATCAGAATGAAAATTTATACGGAGATATTCCTATCATATCAAATTTTAAACAATATACCTCAAATTTTATGCCGCATAACTATAACCCAGCATATAAAAACAATTCATATAATTTAATCCAATATTTGGAAACAGCATTACAAGAAAAAGATCCAGGGATTATTTTTAGAAAGCATCGCTTAGTTCCTGATGGTCTGTACTGCGGATTTCCATATGATCCCCAAGGGAAGCCGCACCGCCGAATGACAGATAAATGGGGTGTGACAAAAGAGCAATATTCCTTTGACGTGTATCCATCGTTTTGTCATGGTGGTATGTATACCATGAGTGGGAATTTGATGACTTCAATATTTGCAATCTCGACCGTAACCGATTATCATTCATATCATTTGGAGGACGTTCTAATTACTGGTATTTTGCGAGAGAAAACTGGAGTGCCTGATTCTAAAATGATTCGCAGAGGCACTGATCCAAAAGTGAAGCCACTTATGTATTATGTTTGGGATTCTGGACCACGCGTGTTGTTGAAAATGGCGCGTAAATGGAAATTTTATAACAGGCCACTGTTTTCAAAACGTTTTGCAATGGAGGCTCTGAGAAACGGTGAAGTTATATCCTGGAATAATTATGGGAAAAGCTAGCAGATATGAATCTACTTCAGGGTGTAAGTTATTTCACGAAATATATTCACGTAAGTGAAGTCTGCCTAAAATGCTTTAACAGTTCACATGTTGTAATCATACAAGACCATGTGAATCCCTAAGATCTAAGTGTATATTGCTATTTGGGTAATGAAAGCATGAAAAGAACATCAAATTACTTGACTTCAATATATTATTTACTTAATTTTTTTGTAACTGTCACTGTGATGATATTATTTTGTATTTCTCTATACTTTTTTTTATTCAAAACTTAAAAAAAAAACTCTCGTGCACGTTATGAATTTGTGCGTAGGTTAAATTTGTCCATATTCGAGGGCTAGAAGTTCTTTGCCTCTGATGTGATTCAGCACAGAAGACTTTTATATCCCAAAAATGAAAAGGAAGGTTTTATGTGTTTGTTTCATATCTTGTGATTTATCTTGTCGTCTGAACACCATAGCCAATATGTTTACAAAATATATGTTGAACAGCCACCGTCGTGTCATCCCCGTCGTTCCTTAGGCTCTGGAATCGGTCAGAGCGATATCCGTAGTAGTATACTTATTTTTAAAATTAGCTCAATGGTGCCAGGATTATATATTATCGACAACTTTCGACATGATATCCTCTAATACTATTGATTCCGCCGTTATATTTTATGGTATAAGGTTTGTCGTTATAACGTAAGCAAATGAAACCTAATTTAGGGTTATTTTCAAATACATATGTCAGCTGGCTTTTGAGAGGCCTATCCCCAATCCCTATCACTTCACTTAGGTTATAGTAAACGGGGTATGTAATATTGATTCTGAAATATTGAAACATTTTTGAAAATAGTAGATCCTCGTGTATCCCTCACTTTTGTTTTGAGCAGTTGTTCCCAATTTTTTTGTAGCTTGTGGTGCCCTTCATGAGGATTTTAGAACTCGTGGCTATTCCAGTTCATCATATGAAAAAACTATTATGTATTTACGATTTTATATCGTATGCGAAACTGGCGCCTAGAATTGTCTGACAGTTACACATTACATTTAGCACAATCTTTGATATGGCAAGAAAAATTTCACCGACAACATAAAGATGTTTTTCAAGTTTTGTTTTAATAGTAGGTATGGCAAATTGAACGAACTGTATGGATGCTTTCTTGCTAGGTAGTGGGTAAGAAGAAAGGAATAATCAGAAACTCGAAAAACCTCCCGTATTCCTTCAATGATGTTTTTAATCTACTATTTTAGTCTGCAAATACTTGTCTAACCAAAACCATGAAGCAGTTGATCCCACCTTGATTATGCTCTGCCGAAGTCTCATTTGAGCACATAGCCCCGCGAGCTTCGACGTCACTGCCTCTGACATCACGGCCTTGCAAGAACAGGTTAATTTTATTAAAGCATCCAGATATATCTGCAAGATACGCAAGCATCATGATAAACCCACATTGTTGAAGATGGCATTTCCATTTTCCGAAAAATAATTTCCGCTTTGATACAGTCGAAGGAACATTTCCTCCTCCGAAATCCATCGAACATTATTAGCTCCCATTTCTTTGGTTAGAAGTTGAAACATTCTGTAATCTCTGGCTCTCAAATGTATAAATTCAATCACTTGAAGCGCGACGTTCACAACCTTATGCAAACGTGAAGAAGCTGAGACCATTCTTACTTTATACGGACGTGTTAAAGTCTGCCCTGATAACCAATCATTGCTGGGGCACCGATCGTGAAAATATTGTTGGGAGAAGAGTCCCTGCTCTGCGTGTCCTTACCCCAGTACTATTTACGTAATCTATAAAAACGAAGTGACCTATTGACTTATTCAGGCGTCAGCAAAGACACATTAGATTGTAATGCCAAAAGTTCGTATATTGCGGGGTTGGACGGTCGAATTGAAAATGCAAATACAGATATATTGTAATACACACACTCAATACAAGTTACACAGTTGAAATACAAGTCAGTGATGCAACAAAGAAAACATGAGAGGAGCGAAAGAGAATCTTTTTCTTAATTTTTCCATTTTTTTCGATACGGGTAGTGCAAGCATAACGCATGGCGCGGCGGTGTGGCTCAACGGGCTAAGCGTTAGGAATACGCTCGCCACCGCACCTCTAATTACTCTGCGTGGGTTCGCCGGTTCGAATCCCATGCAGGGATGGTTATGTGCGAGAGAATTGCTGGACTCCTCGCCGTCGTTTGGTGGTTCACGTAACCGCTGGTCGGTAACGGCTTCCCCCACCACCAAGTCCTTGCTTTCGAAAAACAAATAATACAGTAAAACTAATCCCATACCCGACTTGGAATGGTAACCGGACGGGAGGCCGTGGTTCGCCATATGGACAAGCCGTCTTATCGGCTTTTCTCTTCCCGGGATAAATATGTAAATCCTATCATATCCTATATTCCAGGCCAATGTTTTTTTAAACTGGGTTCAATCGAACCCCTTGCGTTTGGTGGTGCAGCTCAAAGAGTTCGACGGATTTCCTCTGAAATAGTTGCATATCACGAAACCTTTGAACAATTCATAAAAACGCTCAACTGTGTGTAGCTTTGTCGGATATAGTTTTAGAGGACGTTTCGATGACTGTTACATTTCAGATCCCATTACCTATCATCGAAAACTCATATCGTTCCAGATGAATACGCCAGGCCGGTTGAGGTGCACTTCTGAATGAGGGCGCATTTAGATGCTTGCTGATTGTGGACATGAAATATTTTAGGTTGTTGGCACAAACCTAGGTAATATATTGGATAAAATCTAATGCAGACTTACGGCCAAAAAATTTGCGGCTAAGAATATTTCAATGCAGAGCTTTGCTAAAAATTATCACAATAATTCTGAACAACCACAATATGGCAATGAGTCATATTTCTATAGAACAAAGGACGAACGCTTTTATCCCTTTTTGATATTATTTCAAAACGATTGACGTGAGCTACCAACATTCAAATCATCTTCCGGGTATCCAAATGAAAACACTTCGTCCTCTGCGATCTCCTTCATGACACAACAATGGCTATTTCCCGGTTGCTTAACATCGGTCCAATCCAGAGGTTCCCAACTTTTTTGCTTCACGACCCCTTCGGATATTTTCTAACATGCAACGATTTCTTTCACGATAAATTCTAGAAACTAGAAGATATTACAAAAAAAAAATATTAATCTTTAATGCGTTTTCTGTGAATTAGTTATCCTGAATTAATTTAGAAACTATTAATTATTTTTATCCCTTTATCCCAAAAATTGTTTTATTATTATATATTTTTTGAGTGCATTACCAATACTTTTTGAAGAGCACAGTCTTTTCCGGCTATTAGCCCAATTTTAAAAACTAATTTCTTTATATATATCGTAAACGATTTGCATTAAGTACATATTGCACCACAAACATTAATTTAATTTTCCTATGATAAACCACTTGAACTGTACAAAATCGGGAAGGCGAATTGCGCATTACATTAGAAAGCGGTATATTAAAGATTGACTAAATAAGCTAGGTTTATTTGTAGAAAATGAGGGGAGATGGAGCGAGGGTTCCGAAATAGATAAAGGCGAGAATTCAATAAAAAAAAAATTTGCAAACCACAAACCCAAAGTCAAATTAAAATGCGTGCCGTCAACAGATATGATGTCACGGTGATAAGGGTGTTATGAAGTGAGAGGACCTTAGTTTGATTCTGGGATTGGTCAACCCAAACCCTTAAACCCTCACTGTTTCTCGTTTTTAATTTTTTGACCTATAAATAAATTTATTCATTCCACCACTGATTAGAATAAATTTTATAGCAAAAAGTCGTACGTCGCGACCCCCAAGTTGGGAACCACTAACCAGACTCTAATTTAATGAGTAATGATACAATGCATTTCATGAAATATCTAATAATATTAAATACGACAAAGGTTAAATGATTTTGGATTGGGTTCTCGGTTGAAAAAAAAACAACTATTAAAGGAACGCATTGCATGATGCATACATAAATCATCACATTTTTACGAATAAGAACAAAGTTCGAAACTCAAATTTGTCTACCTTATGAATTGCAGAAACAATACAATATATATAGATTGTTTTATGTAATTAAGTATGAGTATTTATACCACTGACCAGAGTAAATTAAGCAAGATGAAGAGAACAGAATAAAAAAAAACTCACATTGAGTTACACAAGGCTGACGTTCTGAAGACGACAAAAATAGGATTAGACATTTATTTCACGAATAATATTTTTTACCGTTTCATTATGCCAATTTTTTTTTTTTTCGGCAATTTACATTTCACTTCTATTAGATTACAAGAATTTATAATACAATTTTGAGCTAATGATCATCCTCGTCACTCCCGGAAACAAAGAATAAACAAATTCTGACTCTATAATCATTGACAATTAAATAATTTATAACAGTCAGCTGGATCATCGTTTATCTTAATCATAGTATCCCGCTTGGACATTTGTTTGCATTGATATTTATGAAACTAAAAGCACAGAAACACATTTGTATATTTTAAATTCTAAATTTTGTTATGTGTCTGATCCAACCGTGATTAATCTAAATGGATCACGATTTACAGGTATAGCATTTCCATGTCTGGCATTTTGTTGTTCCGTGTGGCATTTTTGCAAATGACAATTAAAGAATCGAAGGTTGAACAAATGGTTTGAATTATTCAATAGAATGCAGTTTAAATTGCTCGATTTTTCGAATTAAGATCCTACATTAAAGACGAATGGTATTATGGAAAACATAATTACATAAAGCTCTCCTATTTTACTGCGAAGATGACTATAATTTTCCAACTATAATCTCTAACCAACGTATTAGAAATGGCGAGTAATTTTAAAATGTTGAAATAGCAGCTTTACATTTGGGATTTGTGCGCTAATGTCATCAGGTTCATTCGAGTGAAACAAAAAATGCTGCAACCATAGTAAAACCACAATTATAAAAAATTAATATATTGGAATAGTTTCAATTTACTTCGCCAAGTTTGAGTTACATATTGAGTTCATAATGCATCCACTGTCAATACTTGGTTAACAAAACTTGTCTCAGGCCCAAACACAGACGTTGCATGAGTATCCCGTTTTTCCAACTGCATGTTAAAACGTTCTAGTAAGTGGTTAAAATGGTTGAAGTTGGAAAACCGTCCAATTTCCATGAATATTAATAAAGTAATGTCTGGATGCTATTAATTTTTCAGGGTTTGGAACTGTTATTCATTGTATGGTTCAATTGTATGATTAGCAGATTTCGATAAACGAGGTGATAACAAAAAAAAAACAATTCATTATTAGATATCATAAAATTTTGGGGCTGAAGGATTCTTTGATAATAAATATGATGGTGCAAACAATACAACATGATTTGGAATAGTAGAATTCAAATAAAAAATATGCTCAGTGTTATAGCCACTCCACAAGGAATAGCAATATGATTTGCAACCCAAAAGTTTCTAAACAAAATATTATAATTCAAAATGCATTTCATATGATCAGTAAAAAATTATTTTAGGGCTACTAGAAGAAATATAATTAAGAAAATGGTTTGAATGGTTTGGTTTGAAACCATTTGGAATTGTTCTTTGTTCAGAACGGTTTAAATACTTTAAAGTTGTCACGACGACAAGTAATTTAATTGTTCTGCTTTTAATAGCAGCGACCAGGCATGAAATGTGTATTCATTTTTGAGCTTCTCTCTGATCAAACTAAAAAAAAATGTTTAATATAAGAGACGCCAAGAGAATTATGACTTTGTTGCTAATATAATATTGACCGTTCACAATTTGCAAAGTCAATCAAAATATGAAACAACCGTCTACTTGACAATATAAAAGTAACGAATTTCATTTTTCAATATCTATTCATTTAAACCAGGGAGTGGTAGAATCAACAGTGTTGGGATCGAATAAAATTTCAAATCTTGATCTTTATGTTGAAACATAGTGCGATGTCCGTGTTTTTCTATACTAAAACAATATTTAGGATTTTTATATTCCGACTGTAAAATTGTCAGTTGATTTCTTTTATTGCTTCATGAAATATTTATGAAGTAGTATAAAAATCATAAAATATATTTTTTAAGTTATTATTTCGTCCGGTCATATCAGATTTATAAACCGCATGCAATAGAAGAATATTGTTTCAAAAATTGTAATAACCGAATCACTCGGCAACTCGATAGAAGAAAAAGGATAATGGCGGTTTAACGCGTGTCAATCAGTCATAAATATTTAAATAAGTTTTCACATTCGATAGAAACAAGAGCAAAATATTTTCACATTATGTACTCGTAATGTTATCATATTTTATTAAACACATTGTTTTAAAATCATTGACATTTAATTGCAACAGTAAAAATATATTAATACTTACAAAACACACTATTCTCAAATACCATTTGAATTTACGCGTCGGGTATCTGATATTTATGACAATAGTTTTTCACGAGTGTGTACTCGCCTTAAATGTGTGGTCAATGCCACAAGAAATCGTTATTTACCAAGAAACGCGATTCAAAGAATATCGACGACGTATTGAATTAAATGACGATAACTAAGCAAACACAATGATTTGTTCATATAAAACACCGTAAAATGTCTTTTTGGGGCTACAAAAGCTGATTCCGTAATTCTATTCTTAGGACGGTTAAAAGTTCATACCAAGAGAAATAGGGTATATTATTTGATAATATCCTCCCGTATTTCATTGATTTCTTCATAATTCTACAAGTATGCGTGTATATAAAGTTTGGAGGTACTCCTTAGTTTTATTGTTTTTACACATTTCAAAACTTGAAAAATGCATTAAATTCACGATAAGAATATAAAAAGGATATTAATTATAACAGTTGTGGCAATTATTTTGGAAAACGTTGCATTGGTCAAATCTATTTTACGCTGATTCTGAATTTTTAAGATCATAATAAACTCAATAGTTTATATCTATCCTATTGTTTTATCGCTGGATCGCCTCAAAATGTATCCAAATAAAAATAGACCTCTTGTTTATACTATGTGGCAAAATAAGATTGGTCACATATTGTTTGTAATCAAACTGAGTAAAACAAAACAAAATTTGAGAGTCGTAAACCTACAAAAACATAATCTACGACGTAATCAAATATTGAAGACTCATTTGAAAATTCCATTTTCGTCCTTTTACAAAACAACATGAAACCGATCCAATATCATCGTTAATATTCGTAAGGCCAGTATTTGTTCTTGATTTGGTATTATAAACTAGAAAATTGTTTTATGAGTACATTGGAGGTTAACCAAAATTTACCTTGGGTAATAACTACGTAGAAATGAAATGGTTTAGTTTTTATAATGTCATTTGAGTTCATGTCATTTTCGTTCATCATTATATTTTATCACGCCCTAGAATGTTCAGATACAATATACTTACAGATATTGATTTTTATCGCATAATATCAAACGAGGTGAAAACGTAAAAAAACACGTGTAATTAAATATTGACGATCTGTTGAAACACATTATTTCCGTTGATTTTCCGAACGACAAAAATGGCGTCGCTTTTTGTGTGGCACTTAACTATATCTAAATGAACAAACAGTATTTGATTTAGGAATCTAAGGCAAGCATGCTCTCTTATGCTATATACGCTATCTTATGATGGCATTGATCCTACCTTTACACCAGTGTTTCCCAACCCGAGTCCGCGGTCTCAAATGAGTCCGCAGAGCGTTTGAATGAGTCCTCAACGAGCCACACCGTTTTAGAAGTTATGTAGTAGTATATTTTATGTAGGTAACTGACCTTTTCAGTGTCGCGAAATTCATTGCAGGGCAAAAACGTTTTTACCAGACTTAAGTACCAGCCAAGTTTACGTTAGTATTTACATAAAGCATAAAAGGCAAGTTTATACGCATAAAAGTTATTTAGTAGTATATTTCATGTAGGTCACTGAACTTTTTAGTGTCGCCAAATTCATTGCGAGGCGGAAACGTTTTTACCAGACTTAAGTACCAGCCAACTTACGATTTACGTTAGTATTTACATAAAACACAAAGGCAAGTTTATTCACATAAAATTAATCGAGTCAATGATTAGCGGGCTGGTTAAAATATTCGAACAGCAAACGCGACAGATACGACAGATAATAATCAGAATGAATTCATTTGAAAATTTTAGCTGCAAATTCCTTCCTATAATTTTTCTCGGCGAATCGTCGCCAGTGATCGCATAATATATTCCGAGTTTGCCAGAGCGAGCAGTTCTCGATGTCTCAATGATAGAGCACCCTCGCTATGGTTCTCATTGAAATTTATAAATGTGGATTATAAACTGACTCCGGTAAAATTCTGTTGTTTTTGATTTTATTGCTTTATCACACACAATTCGGGTTTACAAATAACGCACAATGAGTCCGCAAAGATTTTCCCTGGTGAGAAAATAGTCCGCAACTAAAAAAGGTTGGGAAACACTGCTTTAGACACTATTCGTCCTAGAATCATACGTGATCTTAAATCAAACCCAAGAACATACTGTGCGACTGAAATTTGGAATAACTTGAATTATGCTGTCGAATATTACCATTTTGTATGAAAACCAAAATCCTACGTTTCTGAGCAATAAAATCTTCAAATAAACTATGTACCGGACACGGCTAGTTTTATTTGCTCGTAAAATATATTTTGACTGACAGCACACAGACTATTATTTGACCCGCTTTCGTGGTTCGTTTGAGTTTGATCTGGCCTAACACGTGCAACATTAAATTGATTGAAAATGATCAAATTTAAACGGACAATATCTATATTTACCAGATTTAATGAAAGAGAATGCCGCATAGTATGAACGCATGGTAGAATTTTTTAACGCGACGAAATAATCAACGTCGATTAAACATTATTTTCTAGGAAAGAAAGGGGCTCATCATTTTATGTTATATATTGTGAAAAGTGCTCCGATTCATACAACTCGTCGTGAAGTCATTAGAAAAACCTGGGGAGCAGTTAAAGAAGTTGATGGGTTACTTTTCAATACTATCTTTGTTGTCGGTCAAGTCGATCCAAATTCACCTTTGCAGCCTATTTTAGAGAAAGAAAACAAAATCAATGGAGACATGTTGCAAACGGGAACACCAGAAGGATACATGTATGTGATTGTTAGTTGGAAAATCTTACTTCTGTTTTAGGTAACCTGATAAGAAATTAGCGTTGCCTACCTTTTTAAATTCAAACTACCTGAATAAGTTTTGCATGCAATCGAAAAGACACATCCACTCAATGTATGACTGGTTACATATTTATTCAAAGCAATGTGCTCATTTCTCCCAGAATATGCAGTTTTAAGATTCGCGAAGGCTATTCGTCATAAGAATTGTACAACCTATACCTGGATAATGTCGTCTTTAATGACGAGCGTTTGGACTAAAATAAGCTTGTGATCAATCATAATTTGTTTATGTTTTATCAAACTACAAATCTGTTTATGATCATATTAGAGCTGTATTTTAGGACGGGCATGACAGTAGCACAAAAATAGTCATTAGTTTCACGAGATTGATAAGTATATTTTGACCAGGGTCAAATAGCATCTTGATTAAAATGCTATCAATCACCAATTCTATTATTATTTTATCCACAAAAGAATGAATAAAGTACATTTTTATAAAGTTCAGTCACAAAGGATAAGATTGTTATTTCTATCCTGTACGTTTGTATTGTTGCAATCCTACGCTTGTTTACTTAATATGACAATTTCATTGACCATAACGACCCTCAACGAAATTGTTTAACAGCACTCAAGTAGAATAACGACGTCCCACATGGTAGCCCACAATTACATAAGCGACCACATTTCCAAATGTTTAAAAAAACTATAGTCCACGTCTAATTTAAAACCGCACTAGATGAATTAAGTATTTATTGGTCCATACGACTTTCTACCATGTATACGATGTCCGTCATATTATGAATAGTATTACTTTGTTACGTACTATTAATGGAATATACGTATATGTAAAAAATACGTAAATTAAATAAAATATAATCTTGAAGTGACCTGCCATTGCCTAAACTGAACATAAATATCTCTTATTTCAAATAGATTAAGGATACCAATTTCAACGCCACATTAGTTTGTATTATGAAGTACAATTAAGAATACAATTAAGCCAAATTTCGTGATGAAACACTCACATTCATACATAATGTATTGTCTTTTCAGAAACCTTCCAAGTAAAGTGTTCTCGGCTATGCAGTGGTTGATTTCAAAGTCTTCTCAAATATCAAGCGATTTCTATACATTTACTGACGATGATTGCGTAATGAACATCGCAAATATAGTTGACTTTTTTGGAAATCTTCCATTTGAAGATGATGAAAACGATTCATCTAAACGATTTGATCGGTCTAAATCAAGTCAATCAATAAAGGAAATTCAAACTATAGAGTTATATAAGAAAAAGAAAGTGAATGAGGTAACGCTACCATCTTTGGAAGCAAAAAAATTAACAGAAAGCATCATAAATGAAGTAAAATACGATGATTCAAAAAGACAATTATCTGATTCGTTTGAGGGAGAACAGAGAAGTAAAGAAGGAGACGAAGACGACGTAGCTGAGAATCTCGAAATATATGCAGCTATGGATCCAAATGCAAAAATTCAAATCGAAAGAATAGAAAAGAATGATGCCAATTTTGATAAGAATGAAAATTTATACGGAGATATTCCTATCATATCAAATTTTAAACAATATACCTCAAATTTTATGCCGCATAAATATAACCCAGCATATAAAAACAATTCATATAATTTAATCCACTATTTGGAAACAGCATTACAAGATAAAGATCCTGGGATTATTTTTAGAAAGCATCGCTTAGTTCCTGATGGTCTGTACTGCGGATTTTCATATGATCCCCAAGGGAAGCCTCACCGCCGAATGACAGATAAATGGGGTGTGACAAAAGAGCAATATTCCTATGACGTGTACCCATCGTTTTGTCATGGTGGTATGTATACCATGAGTGAGAATTTGATGACTTCAATATTTGCAATCTCGACCGTAACCGATTATCATTCATATCATTTGGAGGATGTTTTAATTACTGGTATTTTGCGAGAGAAAACTGGAGTGCCTGATTCTAAAATGATTCGCAGAGGCACTGATCCAAAAGTGAAGCCACTTATGTATTATGTTTGGGATTCTGGACCACGCGTGTTGTTGAAAATGGCGCGTAAATGGAAATTTTATAACAGGCCACCGTTTTCAAAACGTTTTGCAATGGAAGCTCTGAGAAACGGTGAAGTTATATCCTGGAATAATTATGGGAAAAGCTAGCAGATATGAATCTACTTCAGGGTGTAAGTTATTTCACGAAATATATTCACGTAAGTGAAGCCTGCCTAAAATGCTTCAACAGTTCACATGTTGTAATCGGGGATTATATTTGTTTTTATTACAGTAGGACATACAAAACTATGTGACTCCCTAAGATCTAAGTGTATATTGCTATTTGGGTAATGAATTGATGAAAGCATGAAAAGAACATAAAATATACTTGACTTCAATATATTATTTACTTAATTTTTTTGTAACTGTCACTGTGATGATATTATTTTGTACTTCTCTATACTTTTTTTTATTCAAAACTTTAGAAAAAAACATGCATTTGTCCGTAGTTTAAATTTGTCCATATTCGAGGGCTAGAAGTTCTTTGTCTCTGATGTGATTCAGCACAGAAGACTTTTATATCCCAAAAAATGAAAAGGAAGGTTTTATGTGTTTGTTTCATATCTTGTGATTTATCTTGTCGTCTGAACACCATAGCCAATATGTTTACAAAATATATGTTGAACAGCCACCGCCGTGTCATCCCCGTCGTTCCTTAGGCTCTGGAATCGGTCAGAGCGATATCCGTAGTAGTATACTTATTTTTAAAATTAGCTCAATGGTGCCAAGATTATATATTACCGACAACTTTCGACATGATATCCTCTAATACTATTGACTCCGCCGTTATATTTTATGGTATAAGGTTTGTCGTTATAACCTAAGCAAATGAAACCTAATTTAGGGTTATTTTCAAATACATATGTCAGCTGGCTTTTGAGAGGCCTATCCCCAATCCCTATCACTTTACTTAGGTTATAGTAAACGGGGTATGTAATATTGATTCTGAAATATTGAAACATTTTTGAAAATAGTAGATCCTCGTGTATCCCTCACTTTTGTTTAGAGCAGTTGTTCCCAATTTTTTTGTAGCTTGTGGTGCCCTTCATTAGGATTTTAGAACTCGTGGCTATTCCAGTTCACCATATGAAAAAACTATTATGTATTTACGACTTTATATCGTATGCGAAACTGGCGCCTGGAATTGTCTGACAGTTACACATTACATTTAGCACAATCTTTGAAATATCAAGACAAATTTCACCGACAATATAAAGATGTTTTTAAATTTTGTTACAATAGTAACAGGATCAGAAAAAACAAATATAGGTATGGCAAATTGAACGAACTGTATGGATGCTTTCTTGCTAGGTAGTGGGTGAGAAGAAAGGAATAATCAGAAACTCGAAAAACCTCCCATATTCCTTCAATGATTTTATTAATCTACTATTTTAGTCTGCAAATACTCGTCTAACCAAAACCATAAAGCAGTTGATCCCACCTTGATTATGCTCTGCCGAAGTCTCATTTGAGCACATAGCCCCGCGAGCTTTGACGTCACTGCCCCTGACATCATGGCCTTGCAAGAACAGATTCATTTTATTAAAGCATCCAGATACATCTGCAAGATACGCGAGCATCATGATAAACCCACATTGTTGAAGATGGCATTACCATTTTACGAAAAAGAATTTCCGCTTTGATACAGTCGAAGGAACATTTCCCCCTCCGAAATCCATCTAACATTATTAACTCCCATTTCTTTGGTTAGAAGTTGAAACATTCTGTAATCTCTGGTTCTCAAATGTATAAATTCAATCACTTGAAGCGCGACGTCCACAACCTTATGCAAACGTGAAGAAGGTGATACCATTCTTACTTTATACGGACGTGTTAAAGTCTGCCCTGTTAACCAATCATTGCTGGGGCACCTATCGTGAAGATATTGTTGGGAGAAGAGTCCCTGCTCTGCGTGTCCTTACCCCAGTACTATTTACGTAATCTATAATAACGGAGTGACCTATTGACTTATTCAGGCGTCAGCAAAGACACATTAGATTGTAATGCCAAAAGTTCGTATATTGTGGGGTTGTACGGTCGAATTGAAAATGCAAATACAGATATATTGTAATACATACACTTAATACAAGTTACATAGTTTAAATACAGTGATGCAACAAAGAAAACATGAAAATTTCGATACGGGTAATGCAAGCATAACGCATATCCCAGGCCAATGTTTTATAAACTGGGTTCAATCGAACCCCTTGCGTTTGGTGGTGCAGCTCAAAGAGTTCGACGGAGGTCCTCTAAAATAGTTGTATATCACGAAACCTTTGAACAACTCATGAAAACGCGCTTAGCTGTGTGTAGCTTTGTCGGATATAGTTTTAGTGGACGTTTCGATGACTGTTACATTTTAAATCCCATCACCTATCATCGAAAACTCATCTCTTTCCAGATGATTAGCCAGGCCGGCTGAGGTGCACTTCTGAATGATGGCGCATTTAGATGCTTTCTGATTATGGACATGAAATATCTTGGGTTGTTATCACAAACCTAGGTAAAATATTAGATAAAATCTAATTCAGACTTACGGCCAAAAATTTGCGGCTAAGAATATTTCAATGCAGAGCTTTACTAAAAATTATCACAATAATTCTGAACAACCACAATATGGCGATGAGTCATATATTATCCCCATTTCTATAGAACAAAGGACAAACGCTTTTATCCTTTTTTGATATTAGTTCATAACGATTGACGTGAGCTACCAACATTCAAATCATCGTCCGGATATCCAAATGAAAACACTGCGTCTTCTGCGATCTCCTTCATGACACAACAATGGCTATTTCCCGGTTGCTTAACGTCGGTCTAATCCAGAGGTTCCCAACTTTTTTTGCGTCACGACCGCTTCGGATATTTTCTAACATGCAACGATTTCTTTCACGATAAATGCTAAATTTAAATTGAAATTAGTAGATATTACAAAATAAATATTAAGCTTTAATGTGTTTTCTGTGAATTAGTTATCCTGAATTAATTTAGAAACTATTAATTATTTTTATCCCTTTATCCCAAAAACTGTTTTATTATTATATATTTTTTTGAGTGCATTATCACTACATTTTGAAGAGCACAGTCTTTTCCGGCTATTAGCCCAATTTTAAAGAACTAATTTCTTTATTTATATCGTAAACACTTTGCATTAAGTACATATTGCACCACAAACATTAATTTAATTTTCTTATAATAAATCACTTGAACTGTACAAAAACGGGAATGCGAATTACGCATTACATTAGAAAGCGGTATATTAAAGATTGACTAAATAAGCTAGGTTTATTCGTAGAAAATGAGGGGAGATGGAGCGAGGGTTCCGAAATAGATAAAGGCGAGAATTCAATAAAAAAAAGTTTGCAAACCACAAACCCAAAGTCAAATAAAAATGCGTGCCGTCAACAGATATGATGTCACGGTGATAAGGGTGTTATGAAGTGAGAGGACCTTGGTTTGATTCTGGGATTGGTCAACCCAAACCCTTAAAAATTGGTTTTCACTGTTTCTCGTTTTTAATTTTTTGACCTATAAATAAATTTATTCATTCCACCACTGATTAGAATAAATTTTATAGCAAAAAGTCGTACGTCGCGACCCCCAAGTTGGGAACCACTAACCAGACTCTAATTTAATGAGTAATGATACAATGCATTTCATGAAATATCTTATAATATTTAATACAACAAAGGTTAATTGATTTTGGATTGGGTTCCCGGTTGAAAGAAAACAACTATTCAAGGAACGCATTGCATGATGCATACATAAATCATCACATTTTCACGAATAAGAACTAAGTTCGAAACTCAAATTTGTCTACCTTATGAATTGCAGAAACAATTCAATATATATAGATTGTTTTATATAATTGAGTATGAGTATTTATACCACTGTGCAGAGTAAATTAAACAAAATGAAGAGAACAGAATCAAAAAATAGCTCACGTTGAATTACACAGAGCTGACGTTCTAAAGACGACAAAAATAGGATTACACATTCATTTCACGACTAATATTTTTTACCGTTTCATGATGGCAATCTTTTTTCGGCAATTTACATTTTACTTCTATTAGATTACAAGAATTTATAATACAATTTTGAGCTACTAACCATCCTCGTCACTTCCGGAAACAAAGAATAAACAAATTCTGACTCTTTAATCATTCACAATTGAATAATTTATAACAGTTAGCACGATCACCCTTTATCTTAATCATAGTATCCCGCTTGGACATTTGTCTGCATTGATATTTATGAAACTAAAAGCACAGAAACACATTTGTATATTTAAAAATCCAAATTTTGTTGTGTGTCTGATTCAACCGTGATTAATCTAAATGGGTCACGATTTACAGGTATAGCAGTTCCATGTCTGGCATTTTGTTGTTCCGTGTGGCATTTTTGCAAATGACAATTAAAGAATAATCCAAGGTTGAACAAATGGTTTGAATTATTCAATAGAATGCAGTTTAAATTGTTCGATTTTTCGAATTAAGATCATACATTAAAGACAAATGGTATTTTGCAAAACATAATTACATAAAGCTCTCCTATTTTACTGCGAAGATGACATTTTCTCCAAGTATAATCTCTAACCAACGTATTACAAATGGCGAGTAATTTTTAAAATGTTGAAATGGCAGCTTTACATTTGGGATTCGTGCGCTAATATCATCAGGTTCATTCGAGTGAAACAAAAAATGCAGCAATCATAGTAAAAACACAATTATAAAAATTTAATATATTGGAATAGTTTCAATTTACTTCGCCAAGTTTGAGTTACATATTGAGTGCATAATGCATCCACTGTCAATACTTGGTTCACAAAATTTGTCTCAGGCCCAAACACTGACGTTGCATGAGTATCCCCTATTTTCAACTGCGTGTCAAAACGTTCTAGTAAGTGGTTAAAAAATGGTTCGAGTCTATTTTTCATGAATATTAATAAATGGATGCTATTAATTTTTTAGGGTTTGGAACTGTTACCCATTGTATGGTTCAATTTATGATTAGCAGATTTCGATAAACGAGGTGATAGCAAAAAAACAATTCATTAGTAGATATCATAAAATTTTGGGGCTGAAGGATTCTTTGAGAATGAATATGATAGTGGTATATCATAATGAAGATTGTTTTCAGTCAACAAACCGTAAACGTCAAAAAAGTATTGTGCAACAATACAACATGATTTGGAATAGTAGAATTTAAATAAAATATATGCTTAGTGTTATAGCACTTCACAAGGAATAGCATTATGATGTGCAACCCAAAAGTTTCTAAACAGAATATTATAATTCCAAATGCATTTCATATGATCAGTAAAAAACGATTTTAGGGCTACTAGAAGAAATATAATTAGGAAAATGGTTTTGAAGCATTTTTAAAATGTTCATTGTTCAGGACGGTTCAAATACTTTAAAGTTGTCACGACGACAGGTAATTTAATTGTTCTGCTAATAATAGCAGCGGCCAGGCATGAAATGTGTATTCATTTTTGAGATCCTCTCTGATCAAACTAAAAAAAATGTTTAATATAAGAGACGCCAAGAGCATATAACTTTGTTGCTAATAAAATATTGAGCGTTCACAATTTGCAAAGTCAATCAAAATATGAAACGACCATCTACTTGACAATATAAGAGTAACGAATTTCATTGTTTAATATTTATTCATTTAAACCAGGGAGTGGTTGAATCAACAGTGTTGTGATCGAATAAAATTTCAGATCTTGATCTTTATGTTAAAACATAGTGCGATGTCCGTGTTTTTATACTAAAACAATATTTGGGATTTTTATATTCCGACTGTAAAAATGTTAGTTGATTTCTTTTATTGCTTCATGAAATATTTATGGATGTAGTATAAATATCATAAAATATATTTTTTTAAGTTATTATTTTGTCCGGTCATATCAGATTTTATAAACCGCAAGCAATAGAGGAATATTATTTCAAAAATTGTAATAACTGTTTCACTTGGCAACTCGATAGAAGAAAAAGGATAATGGCGGGTTAACGCGTGTCAATCAGTCATAAATATTTAAATAAGTTTTCACATTCGATAGATACAAGAGCAAAATATTTTCCCATCATGTACTCGTAATGTCATCATATTTTATTAAACACATTGTTTTAAAATCATTGACATTTAATTGCAACAGAAAAAATATATTAATAACACACTATTCTCATTATCTACCATTTGAATTCATGTATCAACTATCGGGTAGGCTGTATGATATTTATGACAATAGTTTTTTACGAGTGTGTGTACTCGCCTTAATGTGTGGTCAATGCCACAAGAAATCGTTATTTACCACGAAACGCGATTCAGAGAATATCGACGATGTATTGAATTGAATGATGATAACTAAGCAAACACAATGCTTTGTCCATATAGAACACCGTAAAATGTCTTTTTGGGGCTACAAAAGCTGATTCCGTAATTCTATTCTTAGGACGGTCAAAAGTTCATTGCCAAGAGAAATAAGGAATATTATTTGATAATATCCTTTGATTAACCGTATTTCATTGATTTTTTCATAATTCTACAAGTATACGTGTATATAAAGTTTGGATTTAAACCGGTATATCTTGAAAATTCTTAGTTTCATTGTTTTTACACATTTTAAAGCTTGAAAGATGATCATTAGTTAAAATACAAATTGGAACTGAAGTTAACGATGATAAGAAATATCATATTTAGGATTTTTCTGATAGCAATATTCCCCAGCATGAAATCTCTCTAAAATGTTTACATATTGGAATCATATTTTTACATGTTATTCAACGTTCCCACGAAAACATGTCTCGCGAAAGTAGGCCACACCAGAAAGTATAACTACAGTAATTCATTTTTTAATATTTTCAAATTTATATTTTTACAAACATTGTTTGTTTACACTTCAGAGGTGTCTAAAAGGTTTTCCTGATTAAAAAGAAGCTCACACTGTAAAATAAAATAAATAATTTCGAGTTATGGCATATTCATATATATTGTATACTCTTGGCCATACTTCTGATTGAAAATCACCACAAAAACGATTTCTAAAAAAGGTCGATTTTCACTCGTACTAAATGGATAATAATAGCTTGATGTGTAAATAGGTATTGCCTTCAAATGGAGGTTACCCAAAACCACAAACAAATTCCTGTTTGAAAGGAAAGGCAATCGGGCATGGTCGCCATATCTCATAATAATACTAATCAGATATCAGAGCATTTGATTAACTCTGAAAAATCTTGGACCGCCAACTTTATACTCTGTTGGTAATATTGAACAAAGTAAATAGAGTTTGGAATAAATTACAACACGGAATGTGTTAAACATTCTCATAAGGTATTGGAAAATATAAACTGATTGAGTAAATATTCATTTTAATAAAAAAGAGCTACAAGTAGTTTATTGGCTTATATTGATTGAAGTTTGCATTCAATAAATTCACCATTTTCGATATTGCATGGAGGTATTGCAATATCACGATTGCTACAATTGTACTCAGTTAAATGACAATCAAGAGTAGGTATCAACACCGATATTTTCCAGATTTCCAAATACTTCAATTTTCAATTAAATAAAGTACTGATAATGTGCCAATTATTCGGTGTAGAAATAACTATACTCTGTAGAACTGTACCTTTGAAATGTTATCAGCTTGGTAGATAATGGGAACATTATGTGTAGCACATTTTCAGCATAATGAAGAAGTCTTCGCAAAAAAAAAAAATTTTTATCGAGTATATATATATACTTCTCGCCCGAAACCACCTGATTCTTAATTTTTAGGATCATAATGATCCTATCCTATCCTATTGTTTTATCGCTGGCACGCCTCAAAATTTATCCAAATAAAAATAGACTCCTTGTTTATACTTCGTGGCAAAATAAGATTTGTCACATATTGCAATCAAACTGAGTGAAACAAAACAAAATTTGAGAGTCGTAAACCTACAAAACATAATCTACGACGTAATCAAATATTGACGACTCATTTGAAAATGCCATTTTCGTCCTTTTACAAAATAACATGAAACCGATCTAATATCATCGTTAATATTCGAAAGGCCAGTGTTTGTTCTTGATTTGGTATTATAAACTAGAAAATTGTTTTATGAGTACATTGGTGGTTAACCGAAATTTACCTTGGGTAATAACTACGTAGAAATAAAATGGTTTAGTTTTTATAATGTCATTTGAGTTCATGTCATTTTCGTTCATCATTATATTTTATCACGCCCTAGAATGTTCAGATACAACATACTTACAGATATTGATTTTTATCGCATAATATCAAACGAGGTGAAAACGTAAAAAAACACGTGTAAGTAAATATTGACGATCTGTTGAAACACATTATTTCCGTTGATTTTCCGAACGACAAAAATGGCGTCGCTTTTTGTGTGGCACTTAACTATATCTAAGTGAACAAACAGTATTTGATTTATGAATCTAAGGCAAGCATGCTCTCTTATGCTATATACGCTATCTTATGATGGCATTGATCCTACCTTTACACCAGTGTTTCCCAACCCGAGTCCGCGGTCTCAAATGAGTCCGCAGAGCGTTTGAATGAGTCCTCAACGAGCCACACCGTTTTAGAAGTTATGTAGTAGTATATTTTATGTAGGTAACTGACCTTTTCAGTGTCGCGAAATTCATTGCAGGGCAAAAACGTTTTTACCAGACTTAAGTACCAGCCAAGTTTACGTTAGTATTTACATAAAGCATAAAAGGCAAGTTTATACGCATAAAAGTTATTTAGTAGTATATTTCATGTAGGTCACTGAACTTTTTAGTGTCGCCAAATTCATTGCGAGGCGGAAACGTTTTTACCAGACTTAAGTACCAGCCAACTTACGATTTACGTTAGTATTTACATAAAACACAAAGGCAAGTTTATTCACATAAAATTAATCGAGTCAATGATTAGCGGGCTGGTTAAAATATTCGAACAGCAAACGCGACAGATACGACAGATAATAATCAGAATGAATTCATTTGAAAATTTTAGCTGCAAATTCCTTCCTATAATTTTTCTCGGCGAATCGTCGCCAGTGATCGCATAATATATTCCGAGTTTGCCAGAGCGAGCAGTTCTCGATGTCTCAATGATAGAGCACCCTCGCTATGGTTCTCATTGAAATTTATAAATGTGGATTATAAACTGACTCCGGTAAAATTCTGTTGTTTTTGATTTTATTGCTTTTTCACACACAATTCGGGTTTACAATTAACGCACAATGAGTCCGCAAAGATTTTCCCTGGTGAGAAAATAGTCCGCGACTAAAAAAGGTTGGGAAACACTGCTTTAGACACTATTCGTCCTAGAATCATACGTGATCTTAAATCAAACCCAAGAACATACTGTGCGACTGAAATTTGGAATAACTTGAATTATGCTGTCGAATATTACCATTTTGTATAATACCAAAATCCTACGTTTCTGAGCAATAAAATCTTCAAATAAACTATGTACCGGACACGGCTAGTTTTATTTGCTCGTAAAATATATTTTGACTGACAGCACACAGACGATTATTTGACCCGCTTTCGTGGTTCGTTTGAGTTTGATCAGGCCTAACACGTGAAACATTAAATTGATTGAAAATGATCAAATTTAAACGGACAATATCCATATTTACCAGATTTAATGAAAGCGCATGCCGCACATAGTATAAACGCATGGTAGAATTTTTAAACGCTACTAAATAATTAACGTCAATTACGCATTATTTTCTAGGAAAGAAAGGGGCTCATCATTTTATGTTATTTATTGTGAAAAGTGCTCCGATTCATACAACTCGTCGTGAAGTCATTAGAAAAACCTGGGTAGCAGTTAAAGAAGTTGATGGGTTACTTTTCAATACTATCTTTGTTGTCGGTCAAGTCGATCCAAATTCTCCTTTGCAGCATATATTAGAGAAAGAAAACAAAATCAATGGAGACATGTTGCAAACGGGAACACCTGAAGGATACATGTATGTGATTGTTACTTATTTAATCTCACTGCCGGTTTAGGTAACCTGATGAGAAATCAGCGTTATACCTACGCTTTTAAATTCAAACTATCTGAATAATATTTGCGTGCATTCGAAAAGGCACATCTACTTAATGTATAACTGTTTACATATTTATTCGAAGCAATGTACTCATTTCTTCCAGAAATATGCAGTTTTAATTTACGCGAAGGCTATTCGTCATAAGAATTGTACAACCTATAACTGGATAATGTCGTCTGACGAGCGTTTGGACTAAAATAAGCTTGTCATCAATCATAATTTGTTTATATTTTATCAAACTACAAATCTGTTTATGATCATATTAGAGCTGTATTTTAGGACGAGCATTACAGTAGCACAAAATAGTCATTAGTTTCATGAAATTGATAAGTATGATTTGACCAGGGTCAAATAGCATCTTGATTAAAATGCTACCAATCACCAATTCTATTATAGCACAAAAGAATGAATAAAGTACATTTTGATAAAGTTCAGTCACAAAGGATAAGATTGTTATTTTTATCCTGTACGTTTGTATTGTTGCAATCCTACGCTTGTTTACTTAATATGACAATCATGGTGTTGATATTTTGACAGCGAGGAATTGCCTTTCATTGACCATATCGACCCTTAACGAAACTGTTTAACAGCACTCAAGTAGAATAACGACGTCCCACATGGTAGCCCACAATTACATAAGCGACCACATTTCCAAATGTTTAAAAAACTATAGTCCACGTCTAATTTAAAACCGCACTAGGTGAATTAAGTATTTATTGGTCCATACGACTTTCTACCATGAATACGATGTCCATCATATTATGAATAGTATTACTTTGTTACGTACGACTATTAAAGGAATATACGTATATGTTTAAAATAGAGTTCAATATTGGTGTCTTATACCTGATTTCGTCACAGACTAGCAATGCTTGAAAATAATAATCTATCCCGATTATTTTTATTATATATGGTCAGAAATTTAAAATACCTCACTACGGATAAAATCATTCAAATGGCATTTGGGACTATATATCCATCAATATTCTTAATTGAGACCTTGAAGTGACCTGCCATTGCCTAAACTGAACATAAATATCTCTTATTTCAAATAGATTAAGGATACCAATTTCAACGCCACATTAGTTTGTATTATGAAGTACAATTAAGAATACAATTGAGCCAAATTTCGTGATAGAACACTCACATTTATACATGATGCATTGTCTTTTCAGAAACCTCCCAAGTAAAGTATTATCAGCTATGCAGTGGTTGATTTCAAAGTCTTCTCAAATATCAAGCGATTTCTATACATTTACTGACGATGATTGCGTAATGAACATCGCAAATATAGTTGACTTTTTTGGAAATCTTCCATTTGAAGATGATGAAAACGATTCATCTAAACGATTTGATCGGTCTAAATCAAGTCAATCAATAAAGGAAATTCAAACTATAGAGTTATATAAGAAAAAGAAAGTGAATGAGGTAACGCTACCACCCTTGGAAGCAAAAAAATTAACAGAAAGCATCATAAATGAAGTAAAATACGATGATTCAAAAAGACAATTATCTGATTCGTATGAGGGAGAACAGAGAAGTAAAGAAGGAGACGAAGACGACGTAGCTGAGAATCTCGAAATATATGCAGCTATGGATCCAAATGCAAAAATTCAAATCGAAAGAATAGAGAAGGATGATGCCAATTTTGATCAGAATGAAAATTTATACGGAGATATTCCTATCATATCAATTTAAAACAATATACCTCAAAATTTATGCCGCATAACTATAACACAGCATATAAAAACAATTCATATAATTTAATCCAATATTTGGAAACAGCATTACAAGAAAAAGATCCAGGGATTATTTTTAGAAAGCATCGCTTAGTTCCTGATGGTCTGTACTGCGGATTTTCATATGATCCCCAAGGGAAGCCGCACCGCCGAATGACAGATAAATGGGGTGTGACAAAAGAGCAATATTCCTTAGACGTGTACCCATCGTTTTGTCATGGTGGTATGTATACCATGAGTGGGAATTTGATGACTTCAATATGTGCAATCTCGACCGTAACCGATTATCATTCATATCATTTGGAGGATGTTTTAATTACTGGTATTTTGCGAGAGAAAACTGGAGTGCCTGATTCTAAAATGATTCGCAGAGGCACTGATCCAAAAGTGAAGCCACTTATGTATTATGTTTGGGATTCTGGACCACGCGTGTTGTTGAAAATGGCGCATAAATGGAAATTTTATAACAGGCCACTGTTTTCAAAACGTTTTGCAATGGAAGCTCTGAGAAACGGTGAAGTTATATTCTGGAATAATTATGGGAAAAGCTAGCAGATATGAATCTACTTCAGGGTGTAAGTTATTTCACGAAATATATTCACGTAAGTGAAGTCTGCCTAAAATGCTTCAACAGTTCACATGTTGTAATCATACAAGACCATGTGAATCCCTAAGATCTAAGTGTATATTGCTATTTGGGTAATGAATTGATGAAAGCATGAAAAGAACATAAAATTACTTAACTTCAATATATTATTTACTTAATTTTTTTTGTAACTGTCACTGTGATGATATTATTTTGTACTTCTCTATACTTTTTTTTTATTCAAAATTTAAAAAAAAACTTTCGTGCACTTTATGCATTTGTGCGTAGGTTAAATTTGTCCATATTCGAGGGCTAGAAGTTCTTTGCCTCTGATGTGATTCAGCACAGAAGACTTTTATATCCCAAAAATGAGAAGGAAGGTTTTGTGTGTTTGTTTCCTATCTTGTGATTTATCTTGTCGTCTGAACACCATAGCCAATATGTTTACAAAATATATGTTGAACGGCCACCATGGTGTCATCCCCATCGTTCCTTAGGCTCTGGAATCGGTCCGAGCGATATCCGCAGTAGTATACTTATTTTTAAAATTAGCTCAATGGTGCCAAGATTATATATTACCGACAACTTTCGACATGATATCCTCTAATACTATTGACTCCGCCGTTATATTTTATGGTATAAGGTTTGTCGTTATAACGTAAGCAAATGAAACCTAATATAAGGTTATTTCCAAATACATATGTCAGCTGGCTTTTGAGAGGCCTATCCCCAATCCCTATCACTTTACTTAGGTTATAGTAAACGGGGTATGTAATATTGATTCTGAAATATTGGAACATTTTTGAAAATAGTAGATCCTCGTGTATCCCTTCGTTTTGAGCAGTTGTTCCCAATTTTTTTGTGGCTTGTGGTGCCCTACATGAGGATTTTAGAACTCGTGGCTATTCCAGTTCACCATATGAAAAAACTATTATGTATTTACGACTTTATATCATATGCGAAACTGGCGCCTGGAATTGTCTGACTGTTACACATTACATTTAGCACAATCTTTGATATGGCAAGAAAAATTTCACCGACAACATGAAGATTTATTTCTAATTTTGTTTTAAGAGTAACAGGATCAGAAAAAACAAATATAGGTATAGCAAATTGAACGAACTGTATGGATGCTTTCTTGCTAGGTAGTGGGTAAGAAGAAAGGAATAATCAGAAACTCGAAAAACCACCCATATTCCTTCAATGATGTTTTTAATCTACTATTTTAGTCTGCAAATACTCGTCTAACCAAAACCATGAAGCAGTTGATCCCACCTTGATTATGCTCTGCCGAAGTCTCATTTGAGCACATAGCCCCGCGAGCTTCGACGTCACTGCCTCAGACATCACGGCCTTGCAAGACAGGTTCATTTTATTAAAGCATCCAGATACATCTGCCAGATATGCAAGCATCATAATAAACCCACATTGTTGAAGATGGGATTTCCATTTTCCGAAAAAGAATTTCCGCTTTGATACAGTCGAAGGAACATTTTCCCCTCCGAAATCTATCGAACATTATTAGCTCCCATTTCTTTGATTAGAAGTTGAAACATTCTGTTATCTCTGGCTCTCAAATGTCTAAATTCAATCACTTGAAGCGCGATGTCCACAACCTTATGCAAACGTGAAGAAGGTGAGGCCATTCTTACTTTTTACGGAAGTGTTAAAGTCTGCCCTGATAACCAATCATTGCTGGGGCACCGATCGTGAAGATATTGTTGGGAGAAGAGTCCCTGCTCTGCGTGTCCTTACCCCAGTACTATTTACGTAATTTATAATAACGGAGTAACCTATTGACTTATTCAGGCGTCAGCAAACACACATTAGATTGTAATGCCAAAAGTTCGTATATTGCGGGGTTGCACGGTCGAATTGAAAATGCAAATACAGATATATTGTAATACACACACTTAATACAAGTTACACAGTTGAAATACAAGTCAGTGATGCAACAAAGAAAACATGAAAAGAGCGAAAGAGAAACTTTTTCTTAATTTTGCCATTTTTTTCGATACGGGTAGTGCAAGCATAACGCATATTCCAGGCCAATGTTTCTTAAACTGGGTTCAATCGAACCCCTTGCGTTTGGTAGTGCAGCTCAAAGAGTTCGACGGATTTCCTCTGAAATAGTTGCATATCACGAAACCTTTGAACAATTCATAAAAACGCTCAACTGTGTGTAGCTTTGTCGGATATAGTTTTAGAGGACGTTTCGATGACTGTTACAATTCAGATCCCATTACCTATCATCGAAAACTCATATCGTTCCAGATGAATATGCCAGGCCGGTTGAGGTGCACTTCTGAATGAGGGCGCATTTAGATGCTTTCTGATTGTGGACATGAAATATTTTAGGTTGTTGGCACAAACCTAGGTAATATATTGGATAAAATCTAATGCAGACTTACGGCCAACAAATTTGCGGCTAAGAATATTTCAATGCAGAGCTTTGCTAAAAATTATCACAATCATTTTGAACAACCACAATATGGCAATGAGTCATATTTCTATAGAACAAAGGACAAACGCTTTTATCCCTTTTTGATATTATTTCAAAACGATTGACGTGAGCTACCAACATTCAAATCATCTTCCGGGTATCCAAATGAAAACACTTCGTCCTCTGCGATCTCCTTCATGACACAGCAACGGCTATTTCCCGGTTGCTTAACGTCGGTCTAATCCAGAGGTTCCCAACTTTTTTTGCGTCACGACCCCTTCGGATATTTTCTAACATGCAACGATTTCTTTCACGATAAATGCTAAATTTAAATTGAAACTAGTAGATATTACAAAAAAAAATATTAAGCTTTAATGTGTTTTCTGTGAATTAGTTATCCTGAATTAATTTAGAAACTATTAATTATTTTTATTCCTTTATCCCCAAAATTATTTTCATTATTATATATTTTTTTGAGTGCATTACCAATACTTTTTGAAGATCACAGTCTTTTGCGGCTTTTAGCCCAATTTTAAAGAACTAATTTCATTTATATATATCGTAAGCACTTCGCATTGAGTACATATTGTGCATCACAAACATTAATTTAATTTTCTTATAATAAATCACTTGAACTGTACAAAAACGGGAATGCGAATTACGCATTACATTAGAAAGCGGTATAATAAAGATTAACTAAATAAGCTAGGTTTATTCGTAGAAAATGGGGGAGATTGAGCGAGGGTTCCGAAATAGATAAAGGCGAGAATTCAATAAAAAAAGTTTGCAAACCACAAACTTAAAGTCAAATTAAAATGCGTGCCGTCAACAGATATGATGTCACGGTGATAAGGGTGTTATGAAGTGAGAGGACCTTAGTTTGATTCTGGGATTGGTCAACCCAAACCCTTAAAATTGGTTTTCACTGTTTCTCGTTTTTAATTTTTTGACCTATAAATAAATTTATTCATTCCACCACTGATTAGAATAAATTTTATAGCAAAAAGTCGTATGTCGCGACCCCCAAGTTGAGAACCACTAACCAGACTCTAATTTAATGAGTAATGATACAATGCATTTCATGAAATATCTAATAATATTAAATACGACAAAGGTTAATTGATTTTGGATTGGTTTCCCGGGTGAAAAAAACAACTATTAGAGGAACGCATTGCATGATGCATGCATAAATAATCACATTTTTACGAATAAGAACAAAGTTCGAAATTCAAATTTGTCTACCTTATGAATTGCAGAAATAATACAATATATATAGATTGTTCTATGTAATTGAGTATGAGTATTTATACCACTGAGCAGAGTAAATTAAACAAGATGAAGAGAACAGAATCAAAAAATAGCTCACGTTGAATTACACAGAGCTGACGTTGTAAAGACGACAAAAATAGGATTATACATTTATTTCACGACTAATATTTTTACCGTTTCATTATGATAATCTTTTTTCGGCAATTTATATTTCACTTCTATTAGATTACAATAATTTATAATACAATTTTGAGCTACTAACCATCCTCGTCACTCCCGGAAACAAAGAATAAACAAATTCTGACTCTTTAATCATTGACAATTGAATAATTTATAACAGTCAGCTCGAACATCGTTTATCTTAATCATAGTATACCGCTTGGACATTTGTCTGCATTGATATTTATGAAACTAAAAGCACAGAAACACATTTGTGTATTTTATATTCTAAATTTTGTTGTGTGTCTGATCCAACCGTGATTAATCTAAATGGATCACGATTTACAGGTATAGCATTTCCATGTCTGGCATTTTGTTGTTCCGTGTGGCATTTTTGCAAATGACAATTAAAGAATCGAAGGTTGAACAAATGGTTTGAATTATTCAATTGAATGCAGTTTAAATTGTTCGATTTTTTGAAATAAGATCATACATTAAAGACAAATGGTATTTTGCAAAACATAATTACATAAAGCTCTCCTATTTTACTGCGAAGATGACATTTTCTCCAAGTATAATCTCTAACCAACGTACTACAAATGGCGAGTAATTTTTAAAATGTTGAAATGGCAGCTTTACATTTGGGATTTGTGCGCTAATATCATCAGGTTCATTCGAGTGAAACAAAAAATGCAGCAACCACAGTAAAACCACAATTATAAAAAATTAATATATTGGAATAGTTTCAATTTACTTCGCCAAGTTTGAGTTACATATTGAGTGCATAATGCATCCACTGTCAATACTTGGTTCACAAAATTTGTCTCAGGCCCAAACACTGACGTTGCATGAGTATCCCGTTTTTCCAACTGCGTGTCAAAACGTTCTAGTAAGTGGTTAAAAAATGGTTGGAGTTCGAAAACCGTCAAATTTCCATGAATATTAATAAAGTAATGTCTGGATGCTATTACTTTTTTAGGGTTTGGAACTGTTACCCATCGTATGGTTCAATTGTATGATTAACAGATTTCGATAAACGAGGTGATAGCAAAAAAAACAATTCATTAGTAGATATCATAAAATTTTGGGGCTGAAGGATTTTTTGATAATAAATATGATGGTGCAAACAATACAACATGATTTGGAATAGTAGAATTTAAATAAAAAAATATGCTCAGTGTTATAGCCACTCCACAAGGAATAGCATTATGATGTGCAACCCAGAAGTTTCTAAACAAAATATTATAATTCCAAATGCATTTCCTATGATCAGTAATAAACGATTTTGGGGCTACTAGAAGAAATATA